TATGATATGCCTTGATGTTTTTCTTTTGGGGTCGAATCTATATGGTGTTCGCTGAGCACAGATCCTTAACCTCAAGGACCCCACAGAGACTTGGAGGCTCGGACCTAGACAAGAACCTGATGCAAACCCCAGAGTCCCCCTAGCATACTGCCTCCCATTCTCCTCACCTGCCTGCCCCCACTCATAGACCCCTCTCCCCAAGTTCATGAGCCTTCTCCACATCAGTTTGCTCCATCCCTACTGGATGCCATCTGGGAGCCTAGACTTGAGCCTCAGGAAGACATCGAGGGAAGTCTGATCCTCTTAGGAGAAGAAAGGTCTTTCATCTCTCACATTGCCTTACCTCTGTGTCCCTACCTTGGCAAAGGCCCGACTGCAAGTAGGTGTGTCACACAGAGATGTGGTGGGGGGTGAGGAGTCAGGAAGATAGGGATGCCAGTCTTGGCTTAACCACCAACCAGCAGAATGACCTTGAGTGAACAGTTTCTCATCCCAGCTATCCACTTCCTTATCAGTAAAATGGGATAATAACTGTGCTCTTGGCCCCTGGGTTATCATAGAGATTGGCAATTGTGTATCTGAAAAATGGCAAAGCTTCATCTTTCATACTTTGGTCATGTAGCTAGGCAAGACTATTCCTTGCAAAGAGACATCATGCTTGGAAAGGTGGAAGGTCAGTGAAGGAGAGGAAGATGCCCAACAAGGTGGAAGACATGGTGACTTCAGCAGTGGGCTCTCCTGTGTTAGAGATGAAGAGGATGACATAGAATAGGGCAGGTTTCGGGTAGGCTGTTAGGTCAATAGAAGTCATGCTTGGCCTGATGGCAGCTGGCAACAACACAAGTCTGGCAACCATAAATGGTCATTGCTGTTTCTTTACATGTGAAACCTATATACTTGTACCAGCAAGGAGTCCTCAGAACAGAGCAAGGAAAACAAAATCAGCAAAGGAGTGTGTCAGGAGTGCATCCTGTCTCCATACCTTTCAATGTAAATGCAGAACAGGTAATTTGGGAGGCTGTGCTTTATGAAGAGAAATGTGGCATCAGGACTGGAGGAAGACTCATCAACAGCATACATTATGCAGATGACACAACCTTCCTTGCTGAAAGTGAGGAGGACCCGAAGTGCTTGCTGCAGAATTTCAAGGACTGTAGTCTTCAATATGGATTGAAGCTCTACATCAAGAAGACAAAGATTCTCACCACTGGGTCAATTGGCAGCACCATGATGGAGGGAGAAGAGATTGTGGTTGTTAATAATTAGCACTTGCTTGGCTCCTCAATCAACAGTCTTGGCACCAGCAGTCAGGAAATCAAAACTGCATTGGGAAAATCTGCTGTCAGGAACCTCTCCAGAGTACTAAAAATGCAACAATGTCAGTCTAGAGAATAAAATGTGCCTGGTCCAGGCCATGGTCTTCATAATTACTTGCTATGCATCAGAGAGTGGGACAATGAGAAAAGCTGACAGAAGGAGAATCGGTACCTTTGAGTTGAGGTGCTGGAGGAGAATCTTGAACATACCATGAACCACAAAGAAAAACAAATAGGTCCGTCTTGGAGAAGATGAAACCAAGTTTCTCCTTGGAGGCTAGGATTTTGAAGCTCCGTCTTACCTACTCTGGGCACGTGGTCAGGATCTAAGAGAAGGACATCATGCTTGGAAGGGTAGAGGGACAGCACAGGAGAGGAAGACCCTGGTTGAGCTGGATTAATACTGGGGCAGTGGGGATAGGTATGTCAGAATCAGTGAGACTGGCTCAGGACAGGGCAGACTTCAGAGCTGTTGTACATAGGATCGCAACTTGACAGCACATAACAACAGGGATAAGACTTGTAATCTTGTTTCAGGGTCAGGATGTCCAGATAGGAGATAATTAAATAGCAAAGGGAGATATTTCTAAATATACAAAAGAGATTAAAGAAGAGAAAGTTCCAGGTAACCAGCAGTTTTTCAGTAAAGCTTCATAGGAAAAGAACATTAATGCCTAACAGTTACATAAAACTTAAGGCACTTGGTGCTCAACTAAGTTTTAAGATACACTGGGAAGTCAGTGGATACAGTTTACAAGTGAGGAAACCAAGTCAGAGAATCTTGTTTTTGGTCATGCACCCATATGCAAAGGATCCAGGGTCACACCCAGCAGGCCCCAGAGTCCCTGTGACACTAAGTTATCTCAGGTGGCACTTTGCAGCATGAGTCAAATGGAGTTGCTGAGGAGGAAGGAAAGATGCTGTAGGTGAGGAATCCAGAAGTCAGCCTGAGAGTTGAGTAAAATGAGGACACCAGTCCACACGGAACTGCAATCTTTAGATATCACAGTGCTCAATAATCAGACGAAAGGTCTTGTCCAGTGTCACACAGCGAAGCCCACGTTCAAGTGTAGCTTGCAAGTGTCCATTCAGCTGGAAGCCGAGGGGTGGTGAGTAGCCCCAGCTCAGAGCCCCAAGCCCCACTTTGGGTAAGTCCTCACCCCTTTTCAGGCGTCAGTTTCCCTATTTTCCCCATTAAAGAGAGATCCCTATCCTGCAAGCATTCCAGGAGGGATATCGGAGGGACCTCCTAGGGTAGAGACAGGCACATGCCTGGTGGAATAACCACAGATCTCGGTCCTGGCAGGTTGTCGCTGTCATAGCCATGACTCTGCCGCACAGCCCCGGAAGTGCCGGGGAGCCCCAGAACCCCGAGACCGTGGAGGTGCACAAGCTGGAGCACTTCCAGGAGGAGGAGCAGAAGGAGGAGCGACAGCACAGCTTGCACATGGGCTCCTCAGTGCAGAGGCGGACCTTCCGCACCAGGTGGGAGTGTGGGGGCCGGACCAGCCTCAACCTGCCCTGCCGGGGACCCTCATCTGAAAGAGACACTCAACCCTGTCCTCTGGAGACCCCTGTCTGGGGCGCGGGGTGGTGGGGGCCTGCGATGGGATTTGGAGGCACAGTCTTACCCGCTAGTGCCGGGAGGGTGAAGTGTTATCACTGCAGCCCCAAGCTCAGGAGACCCACCAGAGCCTACGGAGCCCCAGGGGGGGCACTCACGCCTCTTTTCCCTGAAGCAGTGAGGAAGACTACCAGTTCAGTGCTGCTGACTACTCCCTCGCAGCAGCCCTGGCTCTGACGGCCACCTCAGAGATGTCTTGGTAAGTCGGGTGACGTTCCCAGAGAGCCTTGGGCTGGAAAAGGGACCATACTATCCAGGCCCCTGAGTCCCTGCTGGACTCCCAAAGCCATACATTTAGAGGAAGGGGCTGTTGTTGTACGTTGTCATCAAGTCAGAACCGACTCCAGCTGACTCACCAGTGGGTTTTCAGAGGCTGTAAATTGCACAGGGAGAGTGCCCATTTTTCTCCCAAGGAGCAGCTGGGGGATTCGAACCACCTGCTTTTGTATTGGAAGTGCAGGTTATTAGTCATAAGGCCCCCTGAGCGCCCCAGCATAAGGAGCTAGTTGGATTCCAATCTAGAAAGAAAGTAAAGCCCACCACACCACCCTCTGTGTAGGCCCACAGGCGGTGGTGTGAAACTATACCCAAAGGGCATTAAATGGGACCCCAATTCGCCAAGGGATGCCATAAATAGGGGGAGCCTGAAAAAGGAGGAAGCAGGGCAAATAATGCAGTCCTAAGATTCCTGACTGTCGCTGCAGCTAGCTTTGGTCAATGTCCCAGACTAGGAGGCCTGTCTGGTTCTATCTGGCTTGAAGTTCTCAGTCCTGTACCCTGCAAAATGGAGCCAGTACTATTTGTCCTGTTGGTTATAGGAACTGTGAAACAACAAAACCCTGTAAAATGGGACCAATAATAGTTGTCCGTTTGGTTATAGGGAGTACAAAACAGAAGCTATGAAAGACTTTTGCAAACTATAACAAATAGCAAGTGTTTATTAAGTACCTACTATATGCGGGGTTCTGTCTGGTGTTTGGGGACAAAAGAGAGTTCAAAGTTGCTCTTGTCCTCAAGAAGCTGGCAGTGAGGCATGAGGATGGAGCTAGCAGGACCTTCCCACCCCAGGTCCTGTCTGGGCTCTGAAGGCCTTGGTCACCCACAGGGAGGCCCAGCTGAGGCGTCAGTCCTCCACTGCGGAGCTCGAGGAGCGTGGGCAGAAGCGAGTGGGCTTTGACAACGAATGGGAGAAGACGGAGATCGCCTTCCTACGTACCCGCAGGCTGCTGCGCCAGCGACGGGACTGGAAGGCCCTGAGGCAGCGGGTGAGGACAGAGACCTGTGGCGGCTGCTCCTCCGTGAGCCCACCTCTTCCCTACCCCTCCTCAAGAGGCGGTGAGATGTCCAGGAAATCGGCTAAGCACAGCTGCCTTCTCGTTCCAATACTTCTAGTCTTGTAACCTTGGGCAAGTGACTTAGCCTACCCAAGCCTCAGTTTTCTCATCTGTGAAATAGATATGATTGTGCCAATCCAGTGTGAAGGTAGGAATTCAGAGTTTATGTTCGTAACATAACTATCCCAATTTCTAAGACATGAAAGACCCTGGAGAATGCTATTCCTGACACTATTCTGCATTCCCCTTCCCTAGGGCAGGAGTTGTCATGTACCATCCCATAGCTGACCCTCCAGTAGGTTTTCAGAGGCAGTTAATCATATGGAAAGAGATTGTCCATCCTTCTCCTGCAGAGCAGCTAGTGTGGCCTTGAACCATGTGCCTTCAGAAGTGATGGTTAATACTTAAATGAGATTTTATAAGTACTAGGTCCACCTTTAAAGTAACTTACTTTAAATTCATTTATTTATTTAATCCTCACCACAACTTCACAGGCAAGTGAGGGTGAGGTTGGGGTGGGATATTATCATTCCCAGTTTATAGATAGGGAAACTGAGGCTCAGAGCTGCTTAATCAGCCTGTCTGGTCCCACAGTCAGCAAGTGGCCAAGTTAGGTCTTAACCCCAGGACAGGTAGTTCCAAAGCCCATTGTATCACACTGCCGCGCCTGGAAAGTGATAGCAAAGATGGGAAGGGTCGTCCCCTGGCTCACAGGAGTCACAGACCACCTTGTGCTTCCAGAGAGAGGAGAAGATCCGGGAGGCCAAGGAGCTGAGGGAGCTGTGTTCCGGCCGGGGGCCCTGGTTCTGGATCCCTCTGCGCTCCCACGCTGTCTGGGAACACACCACAGTCCTGCTCACCTGTACTGTCAAGGCCTCCCCTCCGCCCCAGGTCACCTGGTAAGTATGGGAGGGAGGAGGCCCCAGTGCTGCCTGCAAGCTCCTGGGCTTACAAGCATGGCGGTTCCTTAGAGGCTCAGTTTCCCCCTGAGGGCCTCATTCCTCTCCTAGGAGAGCTTGGAGGCTTAGAAAAATTGCAGACCCTCTGACCCTGAGCTTGTCCCCCTGCCAGCTCGGCCCACTCCCCATACAGAGCAGCAGCTGCTGGGGAAACTCAGGCCAGGGTTATTCTTAGCCACCTCCCTGCCCCCTGGGACTGCAAGATGGTGGGGAGTGTCTGAGGAGCCAACACTTGTAAAATTTTTATTCTGGTGGTAATAGAAGGCAGCTGCTCTGAACTGGAAGTCTAGGGAGGGGCTAGAGGTATTGAAAGATGATGGGAGGTAGGATAGATGGTAGGGGAGCAAGAGAGGAGGTCAGAAAGGCATGGGTTCCTGAAGGGAGAAGCAGCTCAGGGCTGGTGATAGTCCTGTATTACCCAGTGTACGGGTTCAATAACGTCTCTTAACTTCTGTGAGCCTGCTTGAATTTTCTGCTCTGTAAAATGCGTTGAACCTCCTGTTCAGCTAGCCTGTGGAGAGGATTTAGGGGCATGATGTCATGGATGCCTTCAGAACTTGAAAAGGGATGGGCAAGCAAGAGACACCATTCCTGGGAGTGTAACCAAAGCAGAACCTCAGAACGAGGGCAAACTCTAGCCTGCTGAACCCAGTCGTAAGGCTTCTGATTGGCCTAGAGAATAAAAATCATTACAGCTATGTTTACCTGAAGGCACACAAAATGCTCTGGCAATCAGAGAATTAGGAAGCACTTAGAGTAGGAGCAGTCACAGAAAGAAACTTTTTGAGGGTATTAATATTTGAACTTGATGGAGAGTTCATCTAATGTTAGATGGAGAAAACCTTGAAATTGGATCCACAACCAGTAAGGTTGGATCCACAAGCAATATACATGGTACCAGCAGTCAGGAGATCGGGAGGCATACTGCAGACTTACTGAGACGCAAATGATGTTAGTTTGAAGACTAGCGTGTGCCTGATTCAGACCATGGACTTGTCAGTCACTTGCTGTGCATCTGAAAGCAGGGCAATGAATAAGGACTACAGAAGAAAAATGGCTGCCTTTGGTGAATATTCCACGAACTTAAAAAAAATATGTCTTGGAGAAGGTGAAGCCAGGTTGCCTCTTGGAAGCAAGGATGATCAAGCTTCGTCTCTAATACTTTGGACATGTTGCTAGGAGAGGCTGTTCCTTGGGGAAAAAACATCATGCTTGGAAAGGGAGTGGACAGCGAAGGAGAGGAAGACCGTCAAGCTGGTGGATTGACACAGTAACTGCAGCAATGAACCCGAGTGTGTCAGAGATTGTGAGAATGGCACAGGATAGGGCAGCGTTTAGATCAGTTGTTCATAGGATCACAATGAGTCATGCTCCACTTGATGGCACCTAACAGTAATGTTTGAACTGGTCATTGTCAGCTGGCGTTCAGTTAACAAAGTGTGCCAGATATGTGCTAGATGCTGGGACTTGAGTCTTGCCTGCACACTAGTGATCGGTAGTAGAATGGCTCTTGATTGTTATTATTGTGAGGTATCATTGAGTTGGCTATAATTCATAGCAACAACATTGTCATAGTATAACAGATCAAAACTTTGCCCTATCTGATACCTTCCTCACAAGCTTTTCTGTGTTCAAGCCCATTGTCAAGTTACTGTGTCAGTTCATCGTGTGAGGGTCGTCCTCTCCATTGACTCTCCATCTTTCCAAGTATTAAATCTTTGCCCAGGGATTATTCCCTCTTGACAACATGTGCAAAGTATGTGAGACAATGCCTCACCATCTTTGCCTCCAAAGAATCCTCTAGCACTCTTGTTTTAACACAGATTTATTCTTTTGGTAGTTCATGGGATATTAAATACACTTCACCAACACCACAATTCAAAGGCATCAATTCTTCTTCAATCTTCCTTATTCATTGTCCAACTTTCAGATGCACAGAAAGCGATTTAAAATACTACAGCTTAGATCAGGGAGCTCTGGTGGCCTAGTGGCAAGAAGCTGCGTTGCAATCCCAAAGGCATGCGGTTTGAGGCCACCAGCTGCTCCACTGGAGAAAGGTGGGCAATCTCCTGTGCGATTAAGGCAATCTCTTCCCGTGCCATTAACTGCCTCTGAACACTCTCCGGAGGGTGAACTATGGGTCGGTTCCAACTCGGCGGTAAACAACAACAGCTTGGATCAGGTGCAACTCAGTCTTTAGACTGGCATTCTTATTCTTTGAGATTTAAAGATATCTTTGACAGTAAATTTCCCCAATGCATCATGTCTTTTGATTTCTTGGCTGGTGCTGTCATATGTTGATTTTTTATTTCAAGTACAATGAAATCCTTGACAACCACAATCCTTTTTCCATTTCTCATTATGTTGCTTATTTATCGAGTTGTGAGGACTTTGGTTTTCCTGATGTTTAGGTTTAATTCATACTTAAAGCTGTAGTCTTTGAACTTCTTCAGTAAGTGCTTCAATTTCATTTTCTATAAGCAAGATTTGATGCCTATGAGCTGTGGTGTTGGAGAAGAACACCAAACATCCCATGGACTGCCCAAACAACAAACAAATATGTTTTGGAGAAGGTGAAGCCAGAGTGCTCTTTGGAGGCAAAGATGATGAGGCTTCATCTAGTATACTTTGAGCATGTTCCCAGGAGGAGCTGTTCTTTAGGAAGGGACATGATGCTCGGAAAGGTAGAGGGCCAGTGAAGCAGAGGAAGACCCTCGACCAGATGGATTGACAGGGTGACTGCTGCAGTGGGCTCCAATGTGTCAGGAAGTATGAGGATGGCCCAGGATAGAACAGGATTCATATCTGTTGTTCATCAGGGCACTGTGGGTCATACTCGACTCAAGGGTACCTAACAATGACAAAGAGGATTGTGTGATCTGCATATCTTCCCATCCTAATGCCACATTGTTCATCATATAATCCAGTTTCTTGGATTATTTGCTTAGCAGACAGATTAAACAAGTACAGGGAAAGGATATAAATCTGACACACATTTATCCTCATCTGAAACCATGCAGTGTCCCCTTGTTCTGTTAGAATGACTGTTCTTATTTAGTTCACATACAAATTCTTCATGAGCACAACTAAGGATTCTGAAGTTAGCACTGTTGTCAGTATTACACACAATTTATTGTATTCATGAGTTGAATGTCTTTTCATGGTCAATAAAATACAAGTAAACATCTTTCTGGTATTCTCTGACATCCTCATTGAGACCCCTCATTCCACGACCTCTTCCGGACCACGCGTGAATTTCTGGCAGTTCCCTGTCAATGTACTGCTCCAGTCAACTGGCCTGGGTTCAGAGAGGGTCAATGCCTCAGCTGTGCTGGCCCGGCAGCCACTCCCTGACGTTGTTCTCCGGCACAGAGATCCAAGTCTACAGTATTCCATGGAAGCTTCCAGGAGGGAATCTTGTTTTCACCCTTGCCGACAGGGTTGCTACAACAGAATGCTAAGCACCTTCAAAAGGGACGGAAGTCAAATCCAGGCCCATCTCCTTTGTAGGGTCCCAGGTGGCCCCCAACATTCCTGGTTTGGGGGTCTGGTTTCCTATCATCAATCCTTCAGCCCACACACAGTGCCTGCCTTGGCTTCTGGAGGAGACACCCAGGCCCTTGGCAGGGACTCAGCCCAGACTCAGAAGGAAGACCTCGTTCACTGGGCTGGCCCGGAGACACCATTCATCGACTAACCGAGGAGCGCTTCTTAAATGCACTGTGAAGGCTCAAACACATAGCCAAATTGCTTAGGCTAATGAGAGAGGCTGAGGCCCATGCAGGAACAGATGCTCAGAGGGTACATAATACTCAGCTTGAGTCAGTGTCCCTGAGGGAGAAGGCTCTGTGGCATGAGAAGGCTGAGGAGGCACTTACCCTTGTGCTGGGAAGGTTTCGTGGAGGAGGTGGCTTCAAGGACATGGAAGATGTTTCCCAGTGGGAAAGAGACTCTTTGCTTAGGGTAACGGCATGAGAAAAGGCAGGACGCCTCCTGTCAGGTGTTAAAGCAACTCCAATGCCCTTGAGGGATGCCGGGGCCTAAACCAGGGGTGGTGGTGTTAGGTGCCTTCAAGTTCCCGATGACCCCTAGTGACCCTTTGAACAACAGATCTGACCCTTGCACTATCCTGTGCCGTCCTCACAACCTCTGATACGCTCAAGCCCATTTTTATCATCGTGTCAATCCATCTTGCTGGAGGTGGAAGGTGTCTTCCTCTCTTTCTCAGACTCTCCACCTTTCACAGCATGATGTACTTTTCCAAAGACTGGCCCCTCATAAGTAAGATGAAATTTTACCATCCTTGCCTCTAAGGAGCATCCTGGTTGCACTTCCTCCGAGAAACTGTTCTTTTGGTAGTCCAAGGGATGTTCAGTACTCCTCACCCACATCGCAATTCAAAGCCATCGGTTTTCCTTCTGTCAGCCTTCTTCCCAACTTTAAAATGCATAGGAAGTAACAGAAAATACCAAGTGCTGGAGTAGATGCACCTTAGTCTTTAAAACTGACATCCATATTTTTTAGAACTTTGGAGAGGAGGTCCTTGACAGCAGATTTTTTCCTAGTGCAAAATACTTTTTATTTTGTGTGGCTACCTTGGGTATTTATTGTTTATTGTTGATTGTTGTTTGTTATTGTTGTGCTTTTGAGTCAGAACTGGCCCATAGCTGACCCTCCAGTGGGCTTTCAGAGATGCTGCAAGTCATAGGAGGAGATTGTCCATCCTTCTCCCACAGAGCAGCTGATGGATTTGACCCGTGTGCCTTTGGGATTGAAGCACAGCTCCTTATCACTAGGCCACCAGAGCTCCCTGGTGTTGACTGTAGATCCAAGTAAAATGAAATCCTTGACAACTTCGATCTTTTCTCCCATCTATCATGATGTTGTTAGCTGTTTTGGTGTAGTGGTGAGGATTTTTGTCTTCTTGGTGTTGAGATGTAATCCATACTGAAGGCTGCAGTCTTTGGTCTTTAGCAGCAAATGCTTCAAGTCCTCTTCACTTTCTGCATGCAAGGTTTTGCATGTATAAGGTATAAGGCAGGTTATTGGCGAGTCTTCCTACAAGCTAGATGCTACACATTGTTCTTCATATCATCCAGCTCCTTGAATGATTTGTTCAGCATACAGACTGAACAGATATGGAGAAAAGATACAACCTGACACACATCTTTCTTGTTTTAAACCAGAGGGACACGGATGGAAAGGCACAGAGAAGGGAAATTTGCTGAGAGGGTGGACTTGGGTCAGATAAAAAACATAAATGCCAAGCCAAGGAAGCCTGGATTCATCAGAGACTCTACGTTCCTAGCCCTCACTCCACGGGCAGGGGACAAAGTGAGGTGACCATGCATGTCGAGGGCTCAGGGAATACTTGGTATGGGGGTGGAGGGAGGAAGCAGCTGAGGAGTGAGGTATTGGAAACTCAGTGCCTCAGGCTTCTAGATCTCTGGCTAATAACTGGACAACTTAAACATAACTCAGTCGTCATGACCACAGAGTCCTTGGCTAAAGAGGGCTAACTAAAGATTACTAGCGGAAAGATTGGAGGTTTAAGTGTACCCAGAGGTACTCTGAAAGAAAGGCCTGGTGATCTACCTTCATTCATGAATTCTCAGCCTTTAACATTGCAATTGTACTCTGTTGCTAATGGGATTTCCATGAGTTGGAATTGACTCAGCCCATCAGTCCTGGCCATAATTCCTAGTGATGTCAATTAGAATTTATTTCTCAAGCCAACCACCCTCAAAAGCAAAATCTAACACCAATGTACCAAAACCAAAACCCCCTCTTTGCCATCAAGTCGGAACGGACTCATAGCTGACCCTCCAAGTGGATTTTCAGAGTCTATAAGTCACACCAGAAAAGACTGTACATCTTTATTCCTCGGGGCAACTATGGGAGAGGTAGAGGGACCTTAGATAAATAATGAGACTCTACATTTATGAGGACCTCCCCAGACCAGACACTGGGCTCCTGGCCTGAATCATCTTCTTTGATCTTATTTTATTGTTGGCCTCCACTCAGGACCACCCACACAGTTGGTGCCTTTAAAGTCCTGACTGAAGGGCCCCAGGGAAAGACCTGGATAGCCTTGTGGCCTCTGTGCCCAGGGCTACAGCTGCTGTGTTTTCTCTGGCTGGCAGAGGCTAGCCAGGGTGAAGTGTCAGAAATGTTCCTGACAGGTGTAGTGTGGGGGAGCATGACCTCAGCCCCAGGCCTCAGTGAGCAGGAGAGATTGGACATCCAAGAGCAGGCACCCTCCCCTCATGGGAGATTTAGTTGAGCTTCTTTTCAAAGTCTACTGGTAATAGTAGTGGGTTATGGGTGTGGCTGTTTAGTTTCCATGGAGACAAACAAGGCTTAGGAGAGGCCAGGTCTAAGGAGGCACCACATGTGGGTTAGGGCCCCCTCTCTCTACTGATGCCTCCTCTTCACCTTGACCACACCACAGGGTAGAGAATGAAACCCATGGGTGGCCCATCAAACTCTCATGTACACAGAGGCCCAGAGAGGGAGACTGACTTGCCCAAGGTCACACAGCAAACTGTGTCAGAAATCCAGACCTCCTGACTCCTGGGCCCTCCAGACTCCTCACCTCAGCCCTGTGGGCAGTGCAAAGACAGCAGAAGGCAAAAAGAGGTATCCAGGGTACAGCAGGACCAACTGACCCAGCTGACCACTCTTAAGACTCATGTGAGGATTTAAAAAAAAAATTCTGATACCTGGGTCTCACCCTAGACATCCTAGACATTCTGATTGAGTTTATTTGGGATGCAACATAAATGTGGAGTGTTTTAAAGGCTTCACAGCACTACAACAAGATAAAGGTAAATAATCCAATTGAAAAATGGGCACAGGATATGAACAGACACTTCACCAAAGAAGACATTCAGATGGCTAACAAGCACATGAAGAAATGTTCAAAATTCCTAGCTCTAAGAGAAATGCAAATCAAAACAACTATGAGATATCATCTCACCCCAGTCAGAATAGCAAAATTTAACAGAACAGCAAGCAACAAATGCTGGTGAGGTTGTGGAGAAACTGGAACCCTTATTCACTGTTGGTGGGAGTGTAAAATGGTGCAACCACTGTGGAAGGCGGTATGGCGTTTTCTCAAAAAGTTGCAAATAGAGATACCATTTGACCCAGCAATTCCACTACTGGGAATATATCCCAAAGAGACCATAACTGCCACCCAAGCAGATATATGCACACCCATGTTTATCGCAGCTTTGTTCACAACAGCAAGGAGTTGGAAACAACCCAGATGCCCATCAACAAATGAATGGATAGAGAAGCTGTGGTATATTCACACAATGAAATACTATGCTGCATTGAAAAACAAGGAACTCATGCAATATTATTCAAAATGGGTGAGCCTAGAGGACATTATGCTGAGTGAAATATCTCAGTCACAAAAGGACAAATATTGCACAGTGCCACTGCTGTAAAATGGGACTGGTATCAGGGTTGTGGTAAGACTGAGAAAAACTGGATCAATTGTGTATACTGCACTGAAACAGATGAGGGAGAGAATAATTTAAAAGTGATGTATGATAGGTATTATGGTTATAACAAGAGTCCACAATTAAGGTTGCATAGTGGAATGTACTTGGGGCAGTGGGAGGGGTGTGGGGGGATTGTGTACCAGGGAGGGAGTGTTTCTTTTACTTTTCAAATAGAGGAGCAAACTGGGGTGGGAGGGAGGGCTGGGCGGGGAAAGAAGTGCAGCAATGAATGAACGGAAATCCAAAATCTCTGTAAATGTTCATTGAAATTTTTTTTTTAAAAAAAAAGGCTTCTCAGATGATTATAATCAGAGCCAAGATACGGAACTACTGTCCTGAGGGGTCAGTGAGCGATATAGGGGTTGGGGGTACATTCTCTGATATCTCTCCACCAGGGAGAAGGGAAAAACTAGAACCCCAGTCTAAGAGTGTTCTTCATTCTGTCTGCTTGGAGCTACCCACCTGCATAAACTTGTGTCTCCATAGGTACAAAGATGACACAAGGCTCGATCCCCGCCTCTTTCCTGCTGGAAAGTATCGTATCAAGAACAACTATGGGCTGCTGACCCTGGAGATTAGGAGGTGAGCCTGAGAACCCCGGTGAAGCACGCAACCCCCAGACCCTCCTGCCCTTACAGGGCCCAGAGCACTTGTTTGGAGCAATGCTTTCCAAGTTTGCCTCACCATCACCAGATGAACGGATGGACACATGTGGTCTGTGTATACAACGGGGTATTTATTATGCCACTATACAAAGAAATATACTTCCCATACATGTTACCAAGTATGTGAACGAAAGCATCATGCTTAGTAAAATAAAACATCAACGCCACTGCCAGAGTTGGAATGAAACCCTCCAGAAGGTTTTCAGAGGCTATAAATCTCATGGGAAGAGACCTCACATCTCTCTCTCCCAGAAGAGCTGGTGGATTTGAACCACCTGCCTTTGCAGTACAATGCCCTGCCACTGAGCCACCACAGTTTCTGTGAAATAAGCCAGACACAAAAAGACATTTTATATGCTGGCATTTCTAGGACTAATCTACAAGAGACAAAAAGAAAGCTAGTGGTTACCATGGGTTAGAGGAAAGAAGAGTTCCTATTCAGTGGGGACAGCATTTCCATTTGAGGAAATAATGAAACAAGTGTTGATGTTCACAACGTTGTGAAAGTGATTCATGTCACTGGCTCACGAGCTTGAAAATGGATAAAATGACAGAACACCTTTGAATTATGGTATTGGGGAAGAATATTGAATAGGCCACAAACTGCCAAAAGAACAAACAAGTCTGTCTTGGAGGAAGTGTAACCAGGGCGCTCCTTGGAGGCGAGGATGGTGAAACTTCATCTCACATACTTTGGATATACTTTGGGAAGGGCCAGTCTTTGGAACAAGACATCATGCTGGGGAAGGTAGAGAGTCAGCATAGGACAGGATGGCCCTCAGTGAGACGGATTGACACAGTGACCGTAACAATGGACTTGGGCATATCAGAGACGGTAAGGATGGTGCAGGATAGTGCAAGGTGCAGAGCTTTTGCTCAGAGGGTTCCTATGAGTTGTAGTCGACTCAATGGTACCTAACAACAACAACAAGGAATGCATGTTTTATATCAGCAAAATAAAAGCAAGCAAACAAGTCAAAGGAAGTTCCAGTTAGAGTGACCAGAACGAAAGGAGAGGCTTCCAGGGGTCTCAGTTTGCTGATGGGCCACTTGTGCCATATCGTACCACTTATACTTGTCACCAGCCAGGACAGGGTGTCCAGAAGTTTGTTGCCATCCCATGGGCTTATCGTGCCCTTGAGGTGGAGTCATCCTTGCCTCAAGTGAGGACATGGCAAGGTTGGCCTGGCTGGTGGTGAGTCCCAGGCCTGACAGCAAGGTCACTTGGCCCAGGTCTGTGCCTCGGGCAACAGGCCCATCCTCTGCTGTGAAAGAAGAGAGCTTATGCCCCAGGATTCTGATCTCGCGTTGTTTCTGGGACAGAGGAGTGCCAGAATGAGTCCATCACCTTGAAGCAGAGTTAAATTCCAGTTGCTGTGCAACTTTGGGAATGTCACTTAACTTCTTCTCTGAGCCTTTAGAGTCAGTAATAGCACTGCAATGCACATTCTATTTTCAAAGCCTGAAGTGAGACTGGTGTTATACTCCAAGTTTTTTAGAGGATGCAGCTGAGGCATTACAGGAATAGTGACCCACCCACAGGCACGCAGCTTTCCTGAGGTAGGGCCAGAGCCGGAGCCCAAGGTCTTCCCTTGCACCATTAGTTTTTGTTGTCCTCAGGCGGGGACTTGAGTTTGCCCAGCAGACTTAGGGGAACTTCTCTTTCCTTTTCAGATGCACTGCTGAGGACTCGGCCACCTACACTGTGGTGGTGAAGAATGCCTACGGCCAGGCCTCCTCCTTTGCCAAAGTCCTTGTCCGCAGTAAGTCCTCCCGTTCCAGCCAGGCCAGGTCAGGCCACAGCAAACCCAAGCTGAGCAGATGAGGTCCTAGGTCTACTGCTGGACTCTGGCAAGGGCCCTTGGCTCTGAATGGTGTTTGGCCTGAGGTGGTCAGAAGACAAGGGCAGCCATGGAGATTCACTTCCCTTAAGAATGAGTAATAGAGTCTTCTCCCTCAGACTGGCCTGACCAGCAGCACCAGCTCTGTGGGCTGAAGGCGGAAGGCACGGACGAGACGAAATTGTCTGTCCCTGTGGGTTGCTATCAAGGGAAGCAGAAGGAAAGGAGATGGACATTTTCTGAGTTCTCTTCATAACACATCTTATTTCATCTTGGGCTAAGGCTTGGACTTACATTCATCTCTGTCCACAGGGTGACCATTAGCATAGATGAGCACTTTGTGTGGACTGGGTAGATGAATTAGAAAAAGAAGTCCATCCCTCCAGGCGGATGTAGGTCCAGTACACTGCTTGAAAAGCAAAAAACATAATAGATACCAGACTCCACTTGACCTTTTGATAGTCACATTCATGCTACTACGGTTCAAAGTAACTACACCTAAATCCTGCTTGTAACAGCAGGGGGCAGACTGTATTTATATCCAGCGCAGGACCCCTAGAGAGTAGTCTGGCTCTGCTATCCCTGAGTGAGGGATCTTCAGGATCAAAGACTTAACCCTAGCAACCTCCCAATCACCCTCTTTTATGCTCTTAGATCTATTACCTCTATGTATCTGAAATGACAGCTCAAAGCAGTGAAGAAGACCCTAAATTCTGATCAGCTGTGTGAGCCTGAGCAAGCCATTTACTTCTCAGAGCCTCCATTGCTTTATCTGTAAAAGGGGAACCCAGTACCTTCTTCAGATGCTTGGGTTTCTTAAAGGAGAGAACATGGATAAAAATGAGAAGCTGCAGTTTGTTAGGAAACAACAATCCCTCCTCCCTCTCTCCAACCCAGGTAGAATGCTTTCCTGGACACCACAACCCAGACAGCACCTCTGAGCCCAAGAGAACACTGTTGCCTGACCTTACGTAGCCTAGAAGACAGAACACACACACACACACACACACACACACACATGCACACTGGCCACTGACTGCTTAAGCAACTTGGCTCCCCAACCACCCCTACCCTTCATCAGACCTCGTTAAACTGTCCTTCAGAGCTTTCTCCACTCCCTGCCTGGTTCCCTAAATAACTTGAGAAGCTGCCTCGCCAGGGCAGGCTCTCAATGTGGAAATTTGAACTGTCCCCTAGGCTGAACCCAGAGTCAAGTTCAAGGTCAGGCGTGAACTCTGCTTCCCTGGTACCATCCTACCATCCAGATCTCCAAATCTTCAAACAGCCTCTTGATGATGGCACCTACTCCCTGCCACTCTCTCATGCTCACAGCAACTGTTGTGACCCCATCATAAATTCTTAACGTCCTTGGACTGAGACACAGAGCCTCTGAGTTCTAATCCTGAGTCCTCCTGTACTCTAACTCTGGGCCCTCCTGGGTTCTAATCTTGAGTCTCCCGCTGATGTCCTGTGTGACTTTGGGCAGGCTCTGTCCCTCTCTGGGCCTCACTCACTACACTCCTTTCCAGGGATGCCATGTCCTGCCATGAAATCAGGCTGTTGGAGTGTTAACTGGTGGCCAGGCCTCAGTTTTCTTGTCTGTAAATAAGGATACCAATGGTCCTGGAAGGGCTGGGGTGAAGGTTAAATTAGCTACGCTAAGGCACTTGGTGAGCACCCAGTTTAGCAGTTGCTATTCTTGCTAATTCCCTGATGGTCTGTGTCAATATTGCCTTGGATTTTGACTGTAAATATAGAGGGGTTCTTGGAGCACTGCTGTCATGCCTGCTGGCTGTCTCTGGTCCTACAAGAAGTCGCAGTGTGTCCAGGCTTGGCCTTTAGGTAGTGTGTTATGGTGACAACAGTTTTGGGAATGGAAGAAAACCACCAAGAGCCGGGCTCTTGCTGAAAATGTTCTTTCATGTGAATTCATCAGTTACAGCGCCACCACTATAGCTAATTGCTGTGCCTACTTTATTAATGAAGGAACTGAGGTACAGAAAGGAGAGGAATGTTCCCTAAGTCACCATCTGAGCCCCAGCATACCAGGACTCTACCCCACACCCAAAGCCTGCATCTCTAAAATCTAGTAGGAATGTGGGATCTGAACTTTCTCCAACTCCGTGTCCTTTGGGTTTTCAGCGTACCTGGGGAAGGATGCTGGCTTCGATTCGGAGATCTACAAAAGTAAGGAGTCTTTAGAGGGGAGGATGGGAGGGAGGTCTAGGATCCTTGTTCATGCCTCCCTGCTCGCCCTTCCAGCAGCCCAGCCAGCCATCCCACTGGAGGACCTCGCCTTGGGGTTGATTTAACACTCACTATGAGTCATCCTCAACTCCATGCACTTAACAAGAACACTAAGACTAACAAAATGGCTCTGGAGGTCCCCAAACTCCCCAACTGCTGAGCAAAAGCTAAACTGGAAATAGAAATCTATGGCCCAAAAGACCACGCGCCTGATGGCCTTTGGATGTTTGTTGTCTTGCTTTATTTACCCAATTCCTGCTGTAATGCGTCCCTTCTCAGGACCAAGTCTCTTCCCTCCCATCAAGCCCATCTTGGGGAACTGTGAACCCAGAGAAGCTGAGACACCTGAGGAGGGTCCCATCTATGCCTCATCCATGCTCTAGGCCCGCAGCCTCCAATGGCTTCAACCCAAACTCCTGTTCCCCACTCCAGGATCATTGTTTGGCTCCCGCGTGGAGTTCACATCGGTGCTGAAGCCTGTGTTTGCCCGTGAGAAGGAGCCCTTCTACCTGTCCTGCTTGTTTTCAGATGATGTGTTAGATGCCGAGCAGAACATCCAGTGGTTCAGAGACGGTGAGAACCCCAGTGCTGGTCCCTACCTTCAGTAGCACCGCCTTTACAGCCAGCTCAGAGCCAGAGAGGCCAGAAGCCAGAGGATTAGCCCTGACTCCATCCCCAGCCTAGGACACCCCAGTGGTGAAGAAGACCCAACTGTACCCTTCCCCAAACTAAGACCATCTGATTCAGGGGTGCTGGAGCCACAGAGGAAAACGGGCACGGTTGGGGGCAGGGGAGGATGCCAGGGTTGACAGGGGGAGGATAGAGACCTGCAGGAGACACCTTGGCTTTCCAGGGACTCTCAGCCAGGGTGGAGAAATGAAGTTGGCAGTGTTCAGTCCCATTCATGAGCAATTACCACCACCACCACCCCCCCCAGGACTACTCCACAGCAATAGAAGCAATAAGAATGCAAAGGTCAAAGCCAGAGGCAGGCTGTAGCGGGCTTGCTCAGGGCAGATGGAGGCAGGCACAGGCACATCATGTGGGCACAGGGAAACAGACACAGTCTCAGAGCCAAGAGGCCTCTGAGAGCATTATGAGCAAGGCCTGGGAGAAGCCAGTAAGCCAGGGCCAGAAAGAGGTGGCCCTCAAAGGAAGAGGAAGGGAGCTGGCCCACCTGCCTGGTCTGCAGCGAGGTCTACAGTCCAAGGACAAGGAGCCCAGTCCCCTCTCTGGTGTCCCAGTCTTGAGCCTGAGGTGGCTGCACCTGCTGGCAGGGGTGGGGGAGCCGCAGGAGCCTGAGGAACAGCTGCAATAACAAGGCTGAGAGGCCTTCCAAAATCTGTAGATCTTCCAGAATAGAGGCTGCTGACAGGAGGACAGGACCTGTATATGGGACAAAGAGAAGCATGACAGGGTGGCCTCAGAGCAAGGCGCGTTCCCTGGGCCCCAGAAGGCCTTCTTTATTAAGTTTGTACTCTCTCACTAAGGGAGCTCTGGACGCATCCCTGGGCCTCCACTATGCTTCACAAGGGCAGTCACCACCCTAGTGAAAACGTCTCCTCTCGTTCAGCTCTCTCCTCATGTTGAGCCCCAGCCCTCGAGAGACCCACTTCCTCCTTGAGCCCCATCCCCTCACTGAACTCTGATTTCTTTCATGGAGTTCCTCTCCCTTCACTTAACTCCAAACCCCTGACTGAGGACCCATCCCCTTAGTCCTGATCTCCTCACTGGCCTCCAGTCTCCTCACTGGATCCCAGGCCTCTCTCTGGGCCTCCTCATTCCCTCCTAAGCCCTCAGAAGAGCAGCATTCCACTGCCATTTCAGCAAAACCCTGCAAGTCACCACCTCTACTGTATCCCGGAGCCCAGTGGAGCTTCAAGCTGTGGCCACATCAGCCCCACCCTGTGTTAAGTTAGGTCTCTGGATCCCTAGAATGCCTGCTGGTTCCTGGAATGCCTGCAGGTTCCCAGAGGAGACCAGGAGCCCCACAAACTCACAATGAACAGCTTTGCCTCTTCAGGGAGACTCCTGAGGTCCTCTGAGCGCCGGCAGCTCCTCATGGCTCACCGTCAGGCGACTGTGAAGGTGTCCTGTGCCTACAAGGAGGACGAGGGGCTCTACATGGTCCAGGTCGCCTCGGCCTTTGGGGTCCGCGAACAGAGCACTTATGTGTTTGTGAGAGGTGAGAGGAACATAGGGGAAAGGGAGAAGGACTGACCGGGAGCCCAGAAACCCGGGCACTGCCCCAACTGACTACTTTGTGACTGGCTAGTCCCCTGCCCTCCTGGGATACCAGGCTCCCTGCTATAAAATAGAGGTGTTGGTTCAGATTCTAAGAATCTCTGTGGCATCCTATTACCCTCCAAGTACAGAACCGAGGCCCCACACTTGGGGTCCAGGGAGATGGGCTAAGCTTGTACCTAGGGTGGGATCTGGTCACTGGTAGAGTTCTGTCTCCTGGTGTTTGAACCAGATATAAGTTCAGATCCTGACTTAGTCACTTCCCTTGCTGGGTGTCTTTGATCTGGCTACTTTGTCTCTCTGAGATTCAATCTCCTCCTCTACAAAGTGGAAGATCACTTTGAAGATTAGTTACACCAATTACTTAGCTTCATGGTGTTGAATGAGTCTCTAATAAATAGTACCAGTCCCTATTGCTGTTAAGGGACAGCAGCTTTGACTCCAGCCCGGAGTAAGTCTTAGAGTCTTTGAGGTCTTAGAACTCAAAGTTAAGCACCTGGAGGTGATGGGGAGATAGTCCTGGTTGGTGATGAGAAGGGCATGCTGCTGAGTGACACTGACCGAGAGCCTCTTCCTCTCCCTTAACCGTGGGTTTCAGATGCTGCCGCTGAGAAAGCAGGTGCCCCAGGCTCCCCTCTGAATGTCCGCTGTCTGAATGTGAACAGAGACTGCCTCATCCTGACCTGGGCCCCGCCCAGTGACACCCGGGGCAGCCCCATTACTGGCTACTCCATCGAGCAGTGAGTCCCACTCCTGAGGGTCCCAGGCCCAGCAAGCATGGGGACCACAGGAAATAGGAGCCCCCATGCCCAGCCTCATTGAGCCCCCAATTCCTCATCACAGAGTAGGGAGTAGACTGTTACATAGTTTAGGGGCAACAGAAGGGCATCCATGCCTCTAAATCTGTCACCCTGTCCCCTAGAAGTCCACTGTTAGCACCAGTCATAATTCTGGGGCCCTCTACAGTAGGAGATGGTCTGGGAGGGGGCTGTTAATATGTGATGGCAACCTGAGCCCACACGAACTGGGTGACTATTTCCTCCCTGGATGACTGTGACAGAGCACTGATCCCGGGGGAGAGGGCTCTAGGAGATGAGGAGGGGGAGAGTGGAACATCCCCTCTCCTTCCCTTCCTTCCAGCTAATTCTGCCATCAGAGGGCTCGCTGACTGTCCCTGAGGCTGTACAAAGTGCATGTCTTTTCTCATTTAATCCATTATAATATAAGGCAGGAGACTTTACACCAACCCCTTCTACAGATGAGGACTCGAAGCATCTGTAGGGGCATGGCTTTGCCCAAAATCATGTTGATTATTAGCAGTGCCGCTGGGATTTGGACTCAGGAATGGGACCACTGCTCCATCCAGCACATATCATATGCAATCATATTGCCTGGGGTTGGTGGTCCTGAGAGGGTGCGGAAAGTCCAGGCTTAGAGGGTCTGTCTGGAAGGTGTACAGGCTTATGGTGTGGACAGATGTCAGTGAAATCTTCTTTACCACTCACAAGCCGTGTGACCCTCGGCAAGTCACTTCACTTCTCTGAGTTGCAGGTCCCACCTTTTCAGAGCACAGGTGGTCAGCCCTACATCCTAAGACTGAGAGGCACAGAACAAAGTTCCAGAAAAGAAAGGAGGCGCTATATCGACTAGCATTGTGGTCAAGGGAGGCAGGAAGGCTTGCTGGGAGGCCTAGAGTTGGAGCCAGGCTTTTGAACTGGAGAGGACTTTCCAGGCAAAGAACTGGGTGGGCAGCCCGAAATTGAAATTGGAATTGGGAAAAGACAGAGTGACCTTTACCAACGCTCAAAGTGAAAGGGTAAGTCATGTGCAGGGGCTGAATATTTCTCCCACAGGTGCCAGGGTGAGTCTGAGGAATGGGTGTCCTGCCACGAGGCCCCTGGGGGAACCTGCCGGTGCCCAGTCCAAGGCCTCATCGAAGGCAAGAGCTATCGGTTCCGGGTGAGAGCCATCAACCGAGCAGGGAGCAGCCTCCCCTCCAAGGCTTCAGAGTCGGTTATCATGGGTGAAGCTGAGGAAGCCCAGAGGAAGACAGGTGGGTACAAAAGCCATGCCAGGACATATCCAGAGTCTCTCTCAGGCCATGGTCAGGGTGGCTGCACACAGGACGCTGGTTCCCACACCAAGCCTGAGTCTAAAAGAGCAGCCTCAGAAACCCTAGTCTGATGGGGAAGGCTCAGTTCTGTGTGAGGAGCCCTAGCCTGGGGGGGCAGGGGGGCGGGTACAGCCCTGCCCTCAGGAACTCCCTAGATGGTAGAGGAGACACTGCTCTGAAAGGACCACTGCTCCTGCTTCAGGTGCCCTCCCCCTGCAGGACAGAAGCAGCCCTGCCCTGGAGCGTCCCCAACCTGAGACAGAGACACAGTCCTGGGGGCACGCAGGGGGGTGGGGAACGAACGGACATGTTCCAGCCTGAGAGGAGAACTCAGCTTGACTTGGATTGTACCTGCCCCCGAGTCCCAGATAACTCCCTTCTCCAATCTGTTCCTGTTTGTTTCAAGAGGACAGAGCATCTTTCTGGGAGCAGCATCACTCTACTTTGACCTCAGAGAAACAGGCCCAGGATAGGCCCACCTAGGGTTACACAGTGAGGGGCTGCCAGGCCAGGACTGAGGACCATGGGAGGTGCAGAACCCAAACAGGGTGTAGTCTTCCTGGACTTGTTCTCCTGACCCAGCCTCAACCCTCACCTAGTGTTTGCATTCTTGACCCTAGAGATCTCCTTCGGTTTTGGGAGCAAGGTTACAATCAGCAAAGATGATTTTGAAGGTATGCATTAATCTTCTAAATGCTCTGCACCAAAACTCCAGCACCCGTGCTGGCTGTGGGACCATGAGAATGGGTTGGATCCAGTTAGAGGCGGTCAGGCGGCTCAGGGTGGTTGCGGTCCTCCTGGAGGACATGGCATGTTGGGCAGAGCTGGGAAGGCATGGATGCTGATCCCGGCTCTGCCCTGCCTTGTGGTGTCACTGACAGCAGGTCCCTATCCCTCTTTGGGTGCACGTGCCTGCTTTATGGTGGGACTATGTCTAGGGGTCTCTGAGACCTGCCTGATTCTGCCTCTGGATAATTCTAATTGCAGAGTCAGTGATCATCCCTTCGGCCCCAACCAATGTCCATGCCAGTGAGATCCGAGAGGCCTATGTGGTCCTGAGCTGGGAGGAGCCTAGCCCCCGAGGCAAGGCCACATTGACGTACTCCTTGGAGAAGGTATGGCGATGTTTAGGGTGCTGGCTCTAAACTAGCTTGAGAAATATGCATCTGAGGGACCTGGGTACAGGAAGTGCCAGTGAGTGCTGAGAGACCCCAGGCAGTGCTTCCTGGGAAAATCTCCAGAGGAAAAAAAGAGTCGCCCTACCTAGAAGGATCTGAATAAGGCCGTGCTTCAGGGTTTGAGGTTGCCACTAACCTGAGAATGCTGTTGTAAACAGTAGTTTATGAAGATATTCATGAAAATATACAAAATCTGAAAACAGTAGTTAGACAGCAAACATTTAGTGACTAAATGAAGAAATTGCTAGGGAGAAATTATCTCTAGCTCTAGAGGTCCAAATGAACCTCTTTTTCACATTCAAGAGTGATCCTACTTCTTGAAGTGGAAAAGATATTAGTAATTGAAGATTTGCTTTGTGGGACCCTAAAGTATAATGTCCCTGGAGAAGGACATCTCACTCTGTAAAGTGTCAGTGCAAAGGAGGAAGAACTTCAATGAGATGGATTGACACTGTGACCATGGTCTCAAATCTAGCCACAATCGTGAAGGTGGTGCAGTGTTTTCTTCCATTATACATAGGCTTTCTGTGAAATGGAACCAACTCAATGACATCTAACAACTACAGAGTAAAATGGAGACACTGGCAGTTCAGTGGCAGAATTCTCACCTTACATGCAGGAGACTCAAGTTCAATTCCTGGCCAGTGCAGCTTATACACAGTCTCCAACCCTTAGTTAGTGGGACATTGTTTGTGGTTATGATGCTGAACAGGTTTCAGCAGAGCTTCCAGACAAAGGGAGGCCAGGAAGAAAGTCCTGAAAATCTACCTTTGCCAAAACAATCACCCCATGAAAACCGTATGAGTCACAGTGATCCAGTCTGAAACTGGTCATGGAGATGCATTTAGGTGCAGGCAGCATTTGTTCTGTTGTGCATGACATCCCAAGAGTACAATAGTTTATCCTTGGAGCTTGGATAAAAATCTCATCTCTGGCTGTATGATGCTGGGCATATCATTTAGCTTCTCTGTGCTTTGTTGTTGTTGCTGACTTGAGAATACTCATAGAGACCCCCATGAATAACAGACCTGAATCCTGTCCTATCCTGTGCCATCCTCATCATCTCTGATATGCTTGAGCCCATTGCTGCAGTCACCATGTCAGGCCACTTCATTGGGGGTCTTCCTCTCTTTCACTGACCCTCCCCTTTCCATGCATAATATCCATTTCTTTTTATTATTATTATTTTATTTTGTGTGTGTGTGTATCATCAAATCAGATCTGACTAGTACAGGAGGAAATTGCCCCTTCTTCTCTAGCAGAGCATCTGGTGGGTTTGAACCTTGTACCTCTAGGATTGCAGTGCAGCTTCTTGCCACTAGGCCACCCGAGCTCACTCATGATATCCATTTCTAAGGAATGCCTCTCCTAGCAACATGCCCAAAGTATGTGAGATGAAGCTTTGTCTGTCGTCTTTACCTCCAAGGAGCACTCTGTCTGCACTTTCTTCAAAATGTATCTGTTCATTTTGCTGGGTCCCCCCGCCCCCAGTCAATGGGATATTTAGTACTCTTCTCCAACACCACAATTCAAACACATCAATTCTTCTGTCATCCTTATTTATTATCCCTAATCCTAATGTTTCTCTGTTAGCCACTTACAATGGCTTGTTTGTTGGTTTATGTCAATGCATACATCGAGGTCTATCTCATACTTTAAACTATTTCTGCTGTTGCTGTTAGATGAAATGAAGATGACTCTAACCCACAGCTAGCCTAGTCACAACTAGATCGGAACCATGCCCTATCATGCACCATCCTCATGACCTCCATTGTCCCTCAGCCCATTAGGGCAGTCACTGTGTCAGTCCATCTCGCTCAGGGTTTTGCTCTCTGCCCTTCTCTGTTTCCAAGCATGATATCCCTTTCTAAGGACTGATAACTGCCTGATAAATGGCCAAAGTATGAGATGAAGGCTTACCATCCTCGCCATGGCTGCATTTCTTCTGATACAAATTTGTTTGTTCTTGTGACAGGCGGTGGGATGATGGATGCCACTGACGCCATGTGGGTAGCACAGGAATGGGGGAAAGTTCCAGAGCTGAGTTCTGGGCATGTTGAATGTGGGATGGTCATCAGGCATCCACCAGGTGGAGCAGGTGGATTCACAGCTCAGGGGTTCAGGACCAGCCTGGGCCCGAGGGACGAGTTACTACAGCAGGTGTGAGGGTACCCAGCACAGAACCCTGCGATTGTATCACCGAGTTTCTCTCCTTTTTTTACAGTCTGTCATTGGTAGTGGCACCTGGGAGGCCATCAGCACAGAGACTCCCGTGAAATCCCCACAGTTCGCCCTTTTGAATCTGGAGAAAGGGAAGTCATATGTCTTCAGAGTAAGAGCAATGAACCAGTATGGCATGAGCGACCCCTCAGAGCCCAGTGAGCCCATCACCTTGGGGAAGAAAGCAGGTAACTGTGAGATGCAAGAGAGGGGGATGGGGCAAGGCTGCCGGCACTCATGGCCCAGGCCTCTAGATCTACGGGACAAGTCCGTGTGTCCTTTTTCCTAATTCTTCTATCATGAAGGAGAAAAGCAAAGTTGTGGTTAGGACATTAACTTTTAGACTGCCAGAAGTCACACTTCTCCAGGCAAGAGGTTATTGGGAGGACAGTCATTTCTTCTAGACCAAGATGCCACAGGTCACAGGGCCCAGCTGGGTCCAGGACCAGAGCTGAGCATCAGGGATGATCCTGAGGGTCTCTGATCAGCCTCCTGAATCCCCCCAAGCATACAGGACTCTCTCCCAGCCCCACAATCCTCAGCGTCCTCACTGCATCCACATTTCTGTTCTTCAGCTACCCTGCCTCCTCCCGCTCAAGTGCAAGCTTTACGAGACACACAGACCTCCATCTCCCTTACCTGGAGCCCTGTGAACGGAGGCCCAGAACTCCTGGGTTACTACATCTACTGCCGAGAGGTGGGGTCTTCTGAGTGGCAAACAGTCAACAACAAACCCATCCAGGATCACAAGTGAGTCAGCCTCATCCCTTCCCAGATGAGTACCTCTTCCATGGAAAAGTCAGGACAGTAATGCCAGCAGCTGTCACTTTCCTTATTCAGTCTGGACCAGGCACAAGTCTACATTGTTTTCCATATGCTAATTTATTTAGTGAGCGCTGATGGCCTGATGGACAATTCTATTCCTGTTTTAATTCATTTATTCTTAACTGCAATCCTGTGGAGTCCCTGAGTGGCCCAGCTAAGCACTCAGCTGCTGGCTGACAGGGTGAATCCACCTCAAAGTGCCGCAGAAGAAAGGCCTGGTGAGCCGCTTCTGAAAGGCCACAGCCATTGGTGGATATGGAGTTTCTGTGAGTTGAAACCCACTCAGTGGCAAATGGCTTGGTATTTGGTTTGGGTTCTTGATTAGGAAAAAAACCTCAAGGCCCTGAAGATGCAGTCTCTAGCACCAGGCCAGGCAGTGGCCACTTTTCCAAGTGTATATTTGCATGTTAATGTTGAGTTTCAGAAAAACAAACACAATAGGAAAATACTGTTCTTCACTCTGTGCTGACTCAGGCTGACCCCATCATATGTTACAGATCAGGCTGTTCCATAGCGTTTCTTGGCTGTCATCTTGACAGAAGAAGATCACCAGCTCTTTCTTCCATGGCACATCAGGGTTCATTTAAACTGCCAGCATTTCAGTTAATAGTCAAGAGTAATTTGCACCATCTAGAAAAGCAACCATCCTGTAAAACTTTAAAGACTAAAACCTCCAGCTTGACATTTCAGGCACCATGATGAAGACAAAGCAATATTTTCAGATAAAACTAGTCCATAACCCTCAAATCTTACCATGCTGGGAGGCTATTTACCCTGCAAGATTGTTGAGGAACATTCAGAAAAGTCCATGAGGTATTCAGCCATTCCTGAGGGCTGCACACTTCTCTTTCAGGTTCTCGGTTCCTGGCCTAAAGACAGGGAAGGAATATGAGTTTTGTGTCAGTTCCGTCAGCCAGGCTGGGGTGGGCAAGAGATCCGCAGCCACTGAGTCCATCAGGGTCAAACAGGCTCTGGGTAAGTCCAAAGGGGCAAGGCCAGCCTGCAAGCCTCTGAGGGTAGCCCTGAGGAGGACAGAGACTGGGTACAGAAAGACCATCCTGGAGGTCATTCCCAGAAGCCAATGGGGTGTAAGTCCTTTGAGGGGCACTGGGGCTGACCTTGACTACTCTCCACAAGGGGAGACTGAGGCCACAGACAAAGCCTGACCAACCACAGGGGTGAAAAATTCCCTTAGGCTAGGAAACCTGAAACCCCAGTGCCCTCTAGAGAGCCGTCATCAGGTCATCTACTGGGTAATAGCAGCTGTCACTGGCTCACAAGGACCCCCTCGAGTAGGGTGAGACTCCCCAGCCCTGTCCAGCCTCCCCGAGTAGCTGCCCTCACCTCTTTGCCCCCTCCTAGCTATCCCATCTGCCCCATACGATTTTATCCTCCTGAACTGTGGAAAGAATGACATGGTCATTGGATGGAAGCCTCCCAAGCACCGAGGAGGTGGTAAGATTCTGGGCTACTTCCTGGACCAGCACGACCCAGAGGAGCCAGACTGGCATCCAGTCAACCAGCAGCCCGTCCCAGCCCAGGTCTGCAAGGTAGGCTGCAATGTGGCCTCATTGTTGGTGCAGGTGGAGACCTGGCCACTGCTGTGAGGGAGGCTCATTTTCAAGCACAGAGACACAGACCTGCCTTCTCGCTCTGTATCTCTCCTTCTGGGGCCCAGCACCTCTTCCTCACTGATGGCTTCCAACATATGCTCTGCCCTTCCAGATCAGCAACCTCCAAGAAGGTCACTTCTATGAATTCCGTGCCCGGGCAACAAACTGGGCAGGTGTTGGTGAACTGTCAGCACCCAGCAGTCTGTTTGAGTGCAAAGAGTGGACGATGCCCCAGCCAGGTGAGAGATCCAAGGCGTGGAGCCCAGCACCTGCCCTTACATCCTCCTTCCACGTCCCACCAAGGGGATGGACAATGGCAAGATCTCCACACATTCAAGCCTGCTCTTTTAATTCCTGGCCCCAGATCTCTGACTTCCCAATAACTGACACAGACTGAGTCTTCACTCTGCCATTGAAGACCCCTGAGCTTGGTAGTAGCCCTGTAACCTCAGCATACACTGTCTCCAACTTGACACACCCTCTGAGCTCTGATCCTGGCCACAGACTGACCTTGAACTCCAAAGGCACACTGACAGCTAGAGGGATCAATTTCCAGAACTTGCCAACTTTATTCCTGAAAACCTTTCATCTGTGGAATCCCTTCAGTTCTGGACAAACAGGAATGAGTGGTCATCTTAACACACTGCACCCTTCCCTTCCCCTGTAACCCCATTAATATTCCCATAAATGAGCCCTTACTTCCCCATCCCCCCAGGAAAGAAAAACACAACCTTCTGTCACTATTCAGCTCAGCTCCATTCTCTATACAAAACCTCTATTTGAAAGGCACAGAATTACAATGTATGTGCAAAGTTTTAAACAATATCAATTCTAACAGGGAATATATTTTTAGGTGGTAGTTGTTGTTGTTTTGGTTGCCTCGGATTTGGTTTCATTTTCCTCAGCTTTAGCTTGAATTTGCATATGAGTAGTTGGTGGTCTGTTCCACAATCAGCTCCTGGCCTAGTTTTCACAGCTGATAATGAGCTTCTCCAGCGGTTCTTTCCACATATGTAATCAATCTGATTCCTATGCATACCATCAGGTGAAATCCAGGTATATAACGTGCAGTTGTTGTTGTTTACTATGGGGTTGGAGCCAACTCATAGCTGACCCTCTAGCAGATTTTCAGAGACAGTTAATTGCATGGGAGGAGATTTCCCACCCCTCTCCCATGGAGCAGCTTATAGACTCAAACCACATACCTTTGGGATTGGAGCACAGCTTCTTACCACTAGGCCACCAGAGCTCCCTAGGTGCTTATTGTATATCAGACCAAACAACAACAACAAAAGCACCCACCCACTGCCATCAAGTTCATTCTTACTCCTGACAACCCAATACAGTAAGAGTAGAGACACTCCCCAGGGTTTCTAAGCCTAATCCAGGTGGAAGCAGACTGGCCACATCTTTCTCCCTTAGTGTGACTGGTGGGTTTAAACCACTGACTTTTTAGAAAGCAGCTGAGTGCCTAATTACCACATCCCTAAGGACCTCTGTGTTTTAGACATTTTCTCTAAATGTCTAATGACTATAGTGTAGAACGGTACTATACTACAGGAGCTATTTTACAGAAGAGAAGGTAGAAACAGAGTTTAACTCTTTTGCTCAGAGTCCCCACAGCCAGAAAGGAAGGAGCTGGGGCATGAAGCCCTGTGTTCTGACTCCAGAAGCCACACCCTTCCTCACTGAATAATGAAATGACAAACACCTTGGAAGGATTGATACTCTCTGGGATGGGGGTGGGGAAGGCCAGAGAAGCTTCCAGGACAAAGTGATGTTGAGTTCATTTTGCAGAGTGAACTCTGTTTCAGGCCCAGGGCCAAGCTTTGTCATAAAGCCAAGGCCAGCCAGGTCCCCACTGTGCCCACAGCAGGTGTGGCCAAGCCTGGCTGTGACTGATTGTGACTGACAGATTGACTGTCAGGCTGACCGACTACTCAGCTTGCTGCCCAGTTGACTGCCTAACTCCTCTCTCTGTCCAATCTCCCCAGGTCCCCCATACAACGTACGAGTATCTGAGGTGCGAGCCACCTCTCTGATGCTGCAGTGGGAACCCCCACTATACACGGGAGCCGGGCCTGTCACAGGCTTCCACATCAGCTACCAGGAAGAAGGCACTGAGCAGTGGAAGCCAGTCACCCCGAACCCCATTTCTGACACCCACCTGAGGGTGAGTCCTTGCCCCTTTGGCCTCTGACTGGCCATGAATCTTTCCCTACTACCGGACATAGTAGAGCCACAGAACACCTGAGCTAGATTGACCCTCAGAGGCCCAGAGAGGGTGAATGATTTACTCACAGTCACACAGCACTTGAGACCCATTCCACCTGATTCTGGCTGCTAGTAGTCTTACTTTGCTCCATTCTGGGTAAATACTTTCCTAAACACTCGCTTGATAATCACCATGTATATGTATAAAGAATAAAGTAGTTTAAAGAGTGAGTTCATAAGGAATGCCAATAGTTTAAAGAATGAAGTACAACTGTATGCATGCATTGATGTGGAAAAATGTCATCAAAGATGACTCAGAGGGAGGTTTGTTGGCCTAGTGGTAATGAGATGTACTGTCAACCCAAAGGCATGCAGCTTGGATTCATTGGCTGCTCTGCAGAAGAAAGATGGAAAATCTCGTGTGATTTATGTCTGAAAATGCACTGGAGGGTCTGCTATAGGTGGGTTCCGACTCAGTGACACACAATGACAGCTACAAGTAACTAAGGGAGGAAAGGTGGGCTAGAGAGTGGGATGTTACATGTTAGAGAACACACATCTATTTGTGTTTGTGCACACGTGTGAGAGGAGCGTTATATATTCTAGTTGCCATGCAGTTGATTTCAACTCGATAAACCCCACTTGTGTCAGAGTTGAACTACATTCCATAAGCTTTTCAGTGGCTGATTGTCTGCAAGCACACTACAAGGTCTTTCTTCTGAGGCAACGCTGGGTGACCTCAAACTGCCTCCCTTTCCATTAGTAACCGAGAGCATTAGCAATTTGCACCTCTCTCTTGAACATGCTCTCTGTGTGTCTGTGTCTTTAGCAACCCAAGGCTCCTCAAAACAATATGTATATTACTAACTTCATATGATATTAACATGAGTAAAAATTCAAAATAACATATATCATAATTTAAGAAGTAAACTCTAGATTTCTTTTTATGAATAAAATATCTAGCAGAATCTCTAGGTTTATCCATTCATGGAAGCATTATTTTAACTTCCACACATGTAGAAATAAAGAAAGTGTGAACTATCCTTGTCTAGCATAACAAAAGACAGCTTGCAAGTATTTATCCAGTCCAGAAAACAACGGTGTCCACCAGAACATTGCTACCTACATACTCACTGCTATAAGTCAGCTCTGGCTCACAGTGACCCTACGGGACCGGGGTAGAAGTGCCTGATAGAGTTCTGAGGGTATGAAACTGAGCAGCTGATGGATCTGAACTGCTGATCTTTAAGTTAGCAGCCCAACACTTAGCAGCCTGATGCGTAACTGTGCCACGAGGGTTCCTAAAGCATTGTTGGTTGTTGTTGTTGTTGTGTATACCATAGAGTTGGAACTGACCCACAGCTGACCCTCCACAGGTTTTGAGAGGCAGTAAATCACACAGCAGGAGATTGCCCGTCTTTCTCCTGCGGAGCAGCTGGTGGCCTCAAACCACATGCTTTTGGGATTGCAACACAGCTTTTTGCCACTAGGCCACCAGAGACCCAAAACATTATTAGCAGATACAAATCACTGGCTTAGACAACCAAAAATTTTCAACTTTCATGTCACCAGAGATCAAAAGCATGACTGTAGCATGTCCACCTCTGAAGTGAACAGCTCTCACTGACCTGTGTTCAAGTACCATCTGTAAGGAGAGCTCTGTGAGGAGGTTAGGTTTGATTCTTGCAGCCCTAAGGGAAGAAAGGAGTATGTCCTCCAGCTTAGTTGAGGTGTCCTTCACCAGTAGGCTGGAGGATACACAGATCTAAAGGTCACACATTAGCATTTCTTGAGTCAACACCAAGTGAGAAAGAGAGAAAGGGAGAAACCCAAAATTTCCAATGCAGGAAGAGTGAGAGATGTCTTTGAATCATATAGAAAAGACATGTTTATAATTTTATGGTAGCACATAACTGAGTGGAGTGTGGAGAGGAAGCAGGCAAGAGGGAAAAGGCATTGCTAGAAGGATAAGTGGTGTTGTTGTTGTTGTTGTTGTTGTTAGGTGTCATCGAGTCAAGTATAACTCAGAGTGACCCTGTGAATAACCCTGCCCTACCCTGTGTCATCCTCACAATCTCTGACACATTTGAGCCCATTGCCTCATTCACTGTGTCAATCCACCTGGTTGAGGGTCTTCCTCTCCTTTGTCATCCGCCACCTTTCCAAGCATAATATCTCTCTACAAGGAATAACCTTCCCTAGCAACATGCCCAAAGAATGTGAGATGAAGCCTCATCATCTTTGCCTCCAAGGTGTACTCTGGCTGCACCTTCTCCAAGATAGATCTGTTTGTTCTTTTAGGAGTCCATTTAGCACTCTTCTCCAACACAAATCAAAGGCATCATTTTTACTTCTGCCATTCTTATTCATTGTCCAGCTGTCAGATGCACAGCAAGTGACTGAAAAGACCAAGAGGCTATTGTTCAAACAGAGCAAAGGAACAACACTACATGGAAGGATATGTAGGGGTTGGTAAAGGATGAGTCTTCAGAGAGCTTTAAGTCCTGACTCATTTCCCTCTGAGATCTATAATAACAGTACAGATAGTCTTCAAGTTACAGATTCCATTCCCAAGTCTGTCTTCATCTCATATCTGTACATAAGCCATAACAGTTAGATGTAGATGCTAACATCAGTTACTCAAATGTTTATCTTCAGACTCAAACTCATTACCATCAGTTCAGAATCTACTCACAGCAGACCTTCCAGCAGATTTTTGGAGACTCTAAGTCACATGGGAGGAGATTGCCCATCTTTCTCCCATGAAGCCACAGGTAGATTTGAACCTCCAGAGAGACACCTGTTTTGGGTTAGCAGCACAACTCGCCATAGATTATGACAATGTTATAATGTACCTTTCCATGCGTAAAAAAATTAAGAAATGGCTCCAGATACACTAAAATGTTCTTCACATACCAATACAGTAATAAGAATATTAAGAATAGTAGTAGTAAAAGAAAAATAATAAGAAGAATAGTATTATTGTTTTGATGTATGTTGCAAAGTAGCTCCCATTTGTTACTACAAAGGATTGTATGAACCTCACATGCTTATAATAACCTTCATAGGGTTTGGTTTATTAACTGTATGTGTGCAGTTGTACATTGTCAAATGTTTATAACTTAGGAACTGCTCAGACTAACAAAGAGTACAGGACATATCACATTTCTACATGTTTCACATTCATTAAAAATCCAGAGATATCTTTACTCAATTGTTAATTCTACCCCTCTCTAGGATGAAGCTGCCAGGGGACATTAATCCTTTTCTATTGCTTTAGAAGTTTCCCAAGAAGCAGGTCTTCTTCTTTAACATGAAAAATAAAATTACTTTCATTTAGGAAAAAGAAAAGGCTTCTTAAACCAGAATAAGAAGGAATAGTGAAATTCTCCGAGATCCTAGTTTTCAACTCCCTGTGGTGCGGTCAGCCAGCCCTGGATGCCTGCCCACTAAAGCAGGGCTGGACAGATGGTCACTCCACCTACCCGTGTTGGCTCAGAATTGGCCCAGACAAGGGTGGCTCTTAGGGACTTGGCATCTCTACACACGAATAGTTGGCTGTCATTTACTTACTCATTCACAAAACAATTCTTGACACCTACTTAATGCCAGGTCTGGAACATGGTCCCAGACATAAAAAGCTGAAGAAGTCACAGTGGTTGGCCTAAGAAAGATAAGGTCTGATAAGATGTACTTAAGTAACAGGCAACTACAATACAGTGTTGAAGACAGCCAGAGTTTTGGGACCTCAAAGGAGGAAGGGCGGACACTCTTCCAACACCCCTTATATTTACCCGAGCTGAGAGGCTGAGCTGAATGGTGAAGGGTGAGATGGAATTAGCCTAAGATGAAGAGAAGGGCTCTCCAAGGGCAAAGGAAGGGAGGTGGGAAACAATGCCATGAACTTGGAAAAGTTGAGGGATTCTGGAGGCATGGGGAGGAGAAGGAGATGAGACTAAAGCCTTTATTAAATCTCAAATTTTTAACTTTATCTGGAAGAGCAGTGAAAGATTTAATCAGCTTGGCCTCTTGAAGAAAATGGCAGAGGGAATGATAAATTAGAGAGGAAGATTCAATGTTGGAGTTACTGATTAGGCATGGAGAGTTTCGGAGAAAGATGCAAAGAAGGCTCCCCAGCTTAGCTCTTGGGTGATGGGATGGTTTCATTTGTTATTTGGCTAGGTTGGGGACATAGGAAGAGAGAGGGTTTCCTAGCTGACAATTGAACTTCAACATTGAGCTTCTGTTTACCTGGAGATGCTACAAGTGGAAAGGCCGTTAGAAACCTGGAGCTCAAGGCCTGGGACCCCGGAAAGCAGTGTGCTCCTTGTCTGCCCTGCTCCCGCACAGCAGTCGGACATTCCTAGATCACTGTCAGGGCCATGAAGTGGCCTCTTTGCTGATATTCAGTGCTCACTCTCAGTCTCTCCCACCCCCAGGTTTCTGACTTGGAGTCAGGGAAGAGCTATGTGTTCCAGGTCCAGGCTGTGAACTCAGCTGGCCTGGGGCAGCCATCAATGCCCACCGACCCCGTGCTCCTGGAGGACAAGCCAGGTAGGGGCAGGCAGAGTGTGCCACCACTGGCTGTGCCAGGGAGGACAGGCAGGGAGTTGGGAAATGGGTTGAAGATCTGAACAAGATCAAGACTCCAAACTTTCTGAAGACCCCTTCTCCCACCATCCAGCAATGCCTTTCCCCTCTTACTGTAATCCCCCCCAATTTATGTATGTGAGACCCTAACATATGAAACCCCCCCATTCACCTGCCCCATAGGACTTAATTGTATCCCTCATTTTTCCATATTCTAGAAGTTGGAGGCTTTACAACTCTTTCTGGATATTTAAAATACTCTCCAGCTCCATTATCAATACTTCGCCTGTTTTGCTATTCCAACTGCTGGGACCATCTCCTCCCGTTCATGCAGTGCTAGGTCCTTATGCTGCCTCTGACTTTTCCAACAAGGCTTAAAGAGAGGAATCGTGTCTCCACTTTACAGCTCATCTAGAGACCAGGCCACAGAGCTAATGTGTGACCAGATCACTGGATTCTTAGCTAGTACACATGGCCTCTTTCTGTTCTTTGAATTACTCATCCCTCTTCCAAATATATGCAGTGGACACAGCGCTGAATGAGAAAGTGAGGTTCCTGCTCTAGGGGATGCAGGTGGGGGAGGAGTCCAGTAAACGAAGCAACTAATCAAAAAGACAATTGAAGATAATGTAGTTGTTGCTGTTGTTGTTGCTGCTGTGTGCCTTTGAGTCAGAGCTTATCCATAGCTGACCCTCCAGGAGTTTTCAGAGGCAGTAAATTGCTTGGGTGGATCTTCCCCATCCTGCCATGGAGCAGCTGGTGGATTTGAAATGTGTGCCTTTAGGGTTGCAGTGCAGCTTTTTACCACTAGGCTGCCAGAGCTCCCTATAATGGTGGGTGCAATAAAAAATATAACTTGACAATATGGTTAGCTGGTGGTTACCTTGAGATGGTCAGGGCCAACTTCTCAGAGATGACATTTCAATGGACAAGGAGGTAAATCATAGGAGCTTTGGACGCTAGAGCAATAGAGGAAGGGGAGGATTGGTGGTCTTTTGTTGGGTGTTTTGGGTTTTTTTAAATCCAAGTGCCTTGAGAAGCCACTGGAGGGTTTAGACCGGGGAGGAGCATGGCCCAGTTTTCTGTTAATGAATGTCTCTCCTTTTGTTGGCTCCTGTGCTCAGATGCCCAGAAGATCTCTGTTGGTGTGGATGACGAAGGCTTTATCTACTTGGCTTTTGAAGCGCCCGAGGCCCCTGACTTTTCTGAGTTTCAGTGGTCCAAGGACTACAAGGGCCCCCCAGATCCCCAGAGAGTCAAGATTGAGGACTCAGTTGACAAGTGAGTGAGGGGAGAGGAGACACAACTTGACAGGCTCCATTACGGTCCAATGAGTTGGTAGACACTGTAGGGTCAACAGAGCAGGACATGACTAATGGATTCGAAAGGGACCACATGGCCTCTTAGAGACACAGCCGTAGAGAGGCAGGAGAGGATGCATTTAAGGGACTCAAACAGAACATTCACTTGGAGATTAGTGTCCTCCAAGCCACTGTGAGCCGTGGTGCATCCATGGATGCACTCGGGACCAAAACCTGATTTCTAGCCTGGGTTGCTAGTAATTTATTTCTGCAAGATCCTCTGGGATTGGTTTTCTTACCTGTAAAATGGGAGTTTGGAAGCAGATGATCATAAAGAATTCAGTGAAAACACCCCCTCGCCTCACTCCTGTCCCAGCAGCTCCATACTCCCCAGCTCAGTCAGCCTCCAGTCCTCAGAACAGGACAGGATAGTGCAGCTCGTGGGCAGCGCCTGTGCCAGAGATTCTAGCTCTTAGGGAGAAGGATCCAGGTTAGAGTTTCCCAGGACAGAAGGGTCAAAGGAGGAGGGCCCCAGGTTACCCAGGGTCTGAGTGTGGGGTAGAGGAACACTGGAGCCAGCACTCCAAACACCACTGCAAAGGGGAAGGATCCTCTCTCAGAGCTTCTACATGCCTCTTTCTGCTAGGTCCAAGGTCATCCTGAAAGAACCTGATATCCAGGACCTGGGGACCTACTCGGTGGTGGTCACAGATGCTGATGAAGACATCTCAGCGAGCCACATACTGACTGAGGAAGGTAACGTCCTGCTCCATGCCACCTCCCAGCAACAGACCCAGATCACAGGCCCAAACACAAAGGCCCACAGAAGCTAAGCAAAAAGGAATGAAAATGAGCAAGCAGCAATTTTCACAGAGATATGGGCCTTTACATACTCATTCATTCAGTTAATCATTTGCTCGATTACTATATATTGTGCACCAGCCATCAGATATCACCTAGGCCCTAGGGATCAACAGACTCAACAGATTCCATCCCTGCCTGGTGCCCGGCACATTCCTCTTGTCTCTCACTGCCCTACTTTTGATACCAGGTTTCTTTTGCTTTTCCTGTAGCCTAAGGGGGTAAAATCCTGTGCAGGTTTGATGATAAATTGCAAATAGCAGTTCGTCTCAGGAACGAATATCGCAGCAGAGAGAGGTGGCAACTGGCAGGCCAGAAAGTGGATGTCATGCCTAAGGGATCGCCCATGTTTGATGGAGTAAACCAAACAGAATCCATGCATCTGGCTGATGAGATGCTGTGCTGTCTCCATGGTAACTGAGGGACAGTCCTCATTCATTGCCTTCCCTGAGGACTGCAGATGAAGCCCTTTGATCTTGTTCTGAATCAGAAACCAGGTGTTTCCAGTTTCCAATTTCAGTTCCACCATTAGCTGGCTGTTTGATTTTGACTAAATCATTTCACCTCTCTTGGCCTCAGTTTCCTCATCTGTAATGAGGGATTATAATCGTTGGCTGTCCCAGTTCAAAGAGTGTTGGCATGCAGATAGAAATAAATTATTCGTATGCATACATTAAAGCCATCAAAAAAATATAGATGGTTTTCTGTTTAGGTTTTACCAGATGTTTGCCATGACCCTGGGTTCCAGGGTTTAGAAAGGAAAGCAAAGTTTGAGTTTTGGCCACGTAACACAGGTTATTCTCAGAACAGCAAACAGTCTGTCACTCCAGGGTTTATTTTAGCTATTGATGGGCCCTGAAGTGGTCTGGTTGATGCCACCTATAAAAGAGGGAACTAATGTACCCTCCCCTATATCTATGAAGTCCAAATGAGATAGTGCAGAATGTGGCAAGTGGTAGGAGGTGGGGCTTGATTAGGTCTTGAAAAGGGAGCAATGTCAGAGCACCAAGCAATAGGCCCCAGCACCTCCCTCTGGGATCCAGGGCCCGCCTTCAATGGCCAGCATCAGCCCCTGTGTAGCCAAGTGGGGAAGGAGGGATCTTATGAGCATTAGGGAGAGTCTTTCAACTCATCAGAGAACCCAAGCATGGCTCTCACGGACCTCACCACTCCAGATATTTCATTATCATTTCTTCCTTATTCATTCCCGTCTCAGAGCTGGACAAACTGAAGAAGCTGAGTCATGAGATCAGAAACCCAGGTAAGCTGCCAGCCCCACCAGGTAAGTGGCCAGCCTGGGGCCACTTCCACTGAGCCCAGTGGGATGTCTGGAAAGAGGAAAGAATCCAGAGGCAAAGGCTGAGGGAGATGGCCAGGGTTGGGACAGGATGGCAAAGACCAGAAGTCAGTGAAAAGCTCAGACAGCAGACAGGAGGGAACAAAGGAGGTGTGAGGGAGAGAAATGAGGATGTTTCTTCTTGTTACAATTATTGGCTCTTAGTTGACTTTTGGATGATCTAAACCTCTGCTAAACCTAGAGGAATAGTGTGTAAACATACTGAGCTGCTAACCAAAAGGTCTGACGTTCAAATCCACCAACAGCTCTCTAAAGAGAGACAAGCCATCTCCTCCTATAAAGATTTGCAGCCTCACAGGGTCGCTCTGAGTCAGAACCAACTTGATGGCTGTGGGTTTGGTTTGGGCTTTAAAGCTCTGCCTCCCTCCACTCACACAGGGTGGTAATCTTGGCCTCCTGCGGTGCTAAAAAAAAACCACCAAACTAACAGACAAAAAACAACCCCATGCTGAACCTCCTCGGTGAAATCAGCATCAGGAGGCAGTCCCAGTGTCGGAATCACTGGAAGTCCTCATGTGTGCGGATCCTTGAAGGAGGAAAAGCTCTGAGATGAAGTGTTCAGCGAGCATGCATGCACGGGCAGGTCTCCTCCCCTCTCTCCAAAAGCCTTGCATGTTAAAGGTGCAAACTGTGAGCTCAGAGGGAGCTGGTGAGGAGCTGAGAAGGTCACCCACCCACCCGGTCCTGTTCTGTGCCTTCCAGTGATCAAGCTGATCTCCGGCTGGAACGTGGAGGTGCTTGAGCAGGGAGAGGTGCGGCTTTGGCTGCAAGTGGAGAAGTTATCTCCTGCCGCAGAGTTGCATCTCATCTTCAACGAGAAGGAGATCTTCAGCTCACCGGTAATTGTGCACTCAGAATTTTGCTTAAGTGAAGTTTTCCGGGCCAAGAGGCAGCCTTACTGAACTGTCTTTCTCCACAGCCCAGTACCACCCCCTAGCGGGAATTAGAGACATGGCTAAGGTGCTTTGTCACCCCACCATGATGGGGATGGGGCACCCGGATTTTAGTACCAGGGTCCTTAGATGGTGAGTTAGACCCGGGTTTTAGTACCAGAGTCCTTACATGCTGGGTTAGACCTGGGTTTTAGTACTACGGTCATTTAGTGTCAGAAATATTAGTTGTTGTTATGTGCCGTCGAGTCGCCTGCGACTCATAGCGACCCTATGTACAACAGCCCTAAACTCTGCTCTATCCTGTGCCAATCGCACTGTCTCTGACACTCCTATCCGGATTATCCCAGTCACTGAATCAATCCACCTCATAGAGGGCCTTCCCCTCCTGCGCCTGCCCTCCACCCTCCCAAGCATGATGTCTTTCCCCAAGGACCGGTCTTTCCTCACAACATGTCCAAAGTATGTCAGACGGAGCCTCAGAATCCTTACCTCCAAGGAGCCACCCGGTTTAACCCTTTCCAGGACAAATCTGTTTGTTTTCCTAGCAGTCCATGGTATTCTCAATACTCTTCTCGAGCACCATAGCTCAAAGGCATCAATTCTCCTTCTTATCCTCCTTGGTCACAGTCCAAATCTCTGACGCTTAACAAGTGCTTGCAAAGACCATGGCCTGTATCAAACGCACCTTAGTCTCCAGGGAGACACCATTGCTCTTCAGTACTTTGGAGAGGTCCCTAACAGCAGACTTTCCCATGGCAATGGGCCTTTTAATCTCCTGGCTACTGGTACCAGGAGTGTTGACTGTGGAGCCAAGCAAACTAAAGCTGTGTACAATCTCAATCTCTTCATCATCCATCCTGATGCTGCCAATTAATTGGTCCAGTGGTGAGAATCTTTGTCTTCTTGACATTGAGCCTCAATCCATATTGGAGGCTGCAGTCCTTGACCCTCTGCAGCAGGTGCTTCAGGTCCCCTTCAGTTTCAGCAAGCAGGGTTGTTGATAAATCGTCCCCCAATCTTGACCCCACATTTCTCCTCATAGAGCCCAGCCTCCCAGATAATCTGTTCTGCATACAGGTTAAAAAGGTATGGAGATAGGATGCATCCCTAGCGTACACCCTTCCCAATTTTGAACCATGCAGTGTTCCCTTGCTCTGTTCTGAGGACTGCCTCCTGGTCCACGTATAGGTTTCACATTAGAACGATCCAGTGTTCTGGGATTCCCATTCTTCTCAGAGTCAGCCACAGTTTGTTATGTTCCACACAGTCAAATGTCTTTGCATAGTCAATGAAACACAGATAGACATTCCTCTGGTATTCTCTGCTTTCAGCTAAGATCCATCTAACATCAGCTACAATATCCCTCCACAACCTCTTCTAAACCCAGCCTGGACTTCTGGTAGTTCTCTGTTGATATGCTGTTCCAGTCATTTTTGGATGATCTTCAGTAAAATCTTGCCAGCAGAAAAAAATGAGATTGTTCTATAGTTTCCACACTCTGTTGGGTCACCTTTCTTTGGGATAGGAACAAATATAGATCTCTTCCAGTCAGTTGGCCAAGTGGTTGTTCTCCAGATTTCTTGGTACAACTTGGTGAGCACGTCCAGGGCAGAAAGACTCCCCAACAATTTCTCATGCCTCTTCCAACTTCTGAGTGTCCAATCAACATTCTTGTTTTATTACTATTATCAGTATAGGGAGCTCTGGTGGCCTAGCAGTAAGAAAGTTTGCTGCAATCTCAGTGTCATACAGTTCCAATCCACCAGGCACTCTGTGGGAGAATGATGGGCAATCTCCACCCATGCAATTTAATACCTCGCCTCTGAAAACTTACTGGAGGCAAGTTTGGGTAGAAGTATGGGTCGATTCCATCTCAGAGGCACACAACAACAATATTATCAATATATTAAAAACATACATAACCAGGACATTTGTCTACACCACTTTCGTATTTACAGTTGAATGGCATTGATATCTGCCGTATTGTAATGCCACTGCAACTATCCTTTTCCAAACTATATCACAGCCATTATTTAAAACTCAGTACCCCCTAAATAAAAACTTCTCTCCCCCACTTCCCTCTCATCCCTGATATGAGCTCATTATCCATATTGAGCTCAATATATATTACTAATATTTCTATTACCTTATTTCATATATTGTTGTCATTATGAGAGATCGAATAGTATTGGTCCTTTTTTTGGCTGATTTACTTCACTTTGCTTGTTTTTCACGTCTCATTCAGGACTTCATTTCTCTTTACAACCACATTTTTATACCCTATTTTGTTTATCAGCTCATCTGAAGGTTGTTTTTGCCTCTTGGCTATTGTGAGAAGTACTGCAGTGGTATAAGCAATAGGGATCTCTGGTGGCGTAATCTGTGACTTGCGATGCTGATCCAAAGGCCACACCGTGGCATAGTCTAGTGAGCACATCTAGGGCTGTGTCTGAAGGTTGATATATGACAATTGGTATTCCATCACTTCCTGAGGACTTATTTTTTTGCCAGTGTCTTCAGTACATCTTGAACTTGATCCTTCATTACTCTTTTTTGTTCTTGATTATATGCTACTTCTCAAAATAGTTCAGTCTGTCGAGAAAAATAAAATTAGATGACTCCTTCAAATCATACATCCTACTATAACTAGAAGATCTATGTATCTAATGGAAAACTAAACTTTTAAAATATCTAGAACAAACAGGTTCATCCTAGAGAGGCTGAAACCAGGTTGCTCCTTGGAGGCAAGGATTCTGAAGCTCTGTCTGACATACTTTCGGCATGTTGCAAGGAGGGATCAGTCTTTGGAGAGGGATGTCATGCTTGGGAGGGTGGTGGGACAGCGCAGGAGAGGAAGACCCTAGATGAGATGGATTGACTCAGTAACTGGTATAATTGTAGTAAGTGTGTCAGAGACAATAAGATTGGCACAGGATAGAGCAGGGTATAGGGCTTGTTGTACATAGTGTCACTATGAGTCACAAGTGACTCAATGGCACATAACATCGTCAACAACAACAACTCTTTTTCTAAAGTCCTTAGGGATTGCAATAAACTGCCAGCTAGTTTGAGGACCACAGCCCCCCAAGACTCACACCAAATTCAAAGCAACTGACTGGAACAAGATCATTGCAAAAGACAAAGGATCAGAATGCAGACATTTTTCACAATGCTGCTTTGTATTTTTCAAAGTCCTACAAATTGATAAGAAAAGAAACAAAAATATGAGTCAAAGATTAATCCACATGCTTCCCTAAGCGACTTGGAAACACACCTTGGTTGCTGTCTGTCCACAACCAAGTCTTTAGTCTGGCATAGCCATTTTGGAAAACAATTTAGCATCAAATAGTAAAAGGAGTTCTGGTGACCTGGTGGGTCGGGAGTGGCCCTGCCAACACGAAGGCAGGCACGTTTAATCCACCAGCTGCTCTGTGGGAGAATAACAGGCAATGTCCTCCTGTGTGGTGCATAGCTTCTCAAAATCCACTACAGGGTCAGCTATGAGTCAATTCTGACTCAATGGAGAAGAGTTTCTGAGTGAGTAAAGCCAAATTTCATGTACTCTATTCAGCCAATTTCACATCAGTCAGCTGCCCTAGGAGAACTTTTAAACAGGAATTCCAGTATGTTCCTGTCTAACAGCAAGACAAGAAGAGAAGCAATACAAATGGCAGCCTTAGGTGAATGGATAATTAAATGATGGTATAAAGTTGTATGATAGGATATTATACTACAAGTAAAAGTGAATGAATTGCAACTGTACATTTGAACATGTTTTCAAGCATAATAGTATGGTCCTATTTCACATACATTTTTAAAAATGTGGGAAACAATCTAGTGGATTGAGAAGTTATGGTACATTCGCATGATGGAATACTACACAGCACGCAGGAGCGATGATGTTGTAAATTACTACTTAACTTAGAAAAGACTGGAGTGCATTATGCTAAGTGAACTAATCCAGTCTCATAAGGACAAATACTGTATAAGACCATTATTGTAGAACGAGTATAAGGATTCAAGTGCGGCGAGGGTGAGAGCCGAGTGGTGAGGATGGAGGGTAAGGGGGGACATTAATGATAGGCTCGCACAATTTGATAGGTGGAGGGAGGGTGGGGTGAAGGAAATGGGAAAGATCCAGTGTGAAATGCAATGTATGCAAACTTTGTAAATAAACCAGCATAGATTAAAAAATTTTTAAAAAGATGTGGGAAGCAATACATCTATTGTTTATGGATACATGTATTTAAAGTGAAAGCATGAAAACATGAACTGAGTCTACATTAAGAGTAGTTATTCTAAAAATGGAGACAAGGGAACAGAAGAGGAGGGAGGGAGAATGAAGGCTTTACTTTTATCAAAGATGCTTTCTTTCTCAAAAAGAAATCTGAGGTATGTAAGACAAAAGTAAATGAATGTTAATTCTCAGTAGCAAGTGTACAGGCTTTTTCAGATTACCCTTTATAATATTTTAATGCAACATATATTTTTATAGCATATTCTTCCCATTTAGTTTTTTTCCCATTCATTTATTGTTGCACATTTTCCTCCCTGCCCACCCCTCCCCCCAGTTTGCTTTTATCTTTGAAAAGAAAAAAAATGTTTTTCATTGTTATGCAATCCTCCCCCCACCAAGTGCACGGTCCACTTTACTATGCATTTCTTTTTCTGGAATCTTGTCATGAAAATATTACCTAATCATATATTCCTTTTAAAGTTTTCTCCCTCATCTGTTTCAATGCAGTATACATTATTTATCCCATCTTTCTCAGTCTTCCCCCAACCACGATGTCAGTCCCGTTTTACAACAGTGGTACTACACAGTATTTGTCTTTTTGTGACAGATATTTCACTCTGCATAATGTCTAGGGTCACCCATTTTGTATAATAATCCATCAGTTCCTTGGTTTTCAATGCAGCATAGTATTCCATTGTGTGACTATACCACAGCTTCCCTATCCATTGGTTTGTTGATGGGCACTTGGGTTGTTTCCAACTCCTTGCTATTGTGAACAAAGCTGCAATAAACATGGGTGTGCATATATCTGCTTGGGTGGCAGTTCTGGTTTCTTCAGGATCTAGTCCCTAGTAGTGGAATTGCTGGGTCAAATGATATTTCTATTTCCAACTTTTTGAGAAAGCACCATACAGCCTTCCATAGTGGTTGCACCATTTTACACTCCCACCAACAGTGAGTGAATAAGGATTCCAGTTTCTCCACAACCTCACCAGCATTTGTTGTTTGCTGCTCTGTTGAATTTTGCTATTCTTCCTGGGGTGAGATGATAGCTCATAGTTGTTTTTATTTGCATCTCTCTTAAAGCTACGGATTTTGAACACTTCTTTATGTGTTTCTTTACCATCTGAATGTCTTCTTCGGTGAAGTGTCTGTTCATACCTTGTGCTCATTTTTCAATTGGGTTGTATCTGTTCATATCCTGTGCCCATTTTTCAATTGGGTTGTTTATCTTGTTGTAGCTATCCTTTATATTTTTATGAGCCTTTTTCCTACTTCATTTTAACAAAAGAAGACATACTGCAAAGTATGGCACAGTAGAAATTGGTCGTATTATTATTAATAGTAAGTAGTATCAAGTGCTCCTGCCTTTGCCTATCTGGTATGTGCAGGGACTGGGTGTTGAACCACAGGCTATGTGAGTGGAGGGTTACTAAGGTCCCTTCCTAGTCTCTGAAGACGAATAGCTCCGGACAACCTCCGGTTCACCTACATACTGATTTGTGCTCCTATGGCACAAGTTTCCCAGAAATAGGAAAACTGCAAAGACAATTCTGGGTGTTTCTTCTCCCCAGAATCGCAAAATCACTTTTGACCGAGAGAAGGGCCTGGTCGAGGTGATCATCCAGGTTCTGTCTGAAGAGGACAAAGGATCCTACACTGCTCAGCTCCAAGATGGAAAAGCCAAAAACCAGATCACTCTGGCCCTGGTGGATGACGGTCAGCCCACCCTGCCCACCTGCCCGGCACCTGGCTGTGTGTTCTCAGCTCTGGGGGCTGCTGAGCACAAGGCCTTGGTCTCCTGTTGTACCCCCTGCGCTGTTCTTGCCTCATGCCCGTTCCTCCCTATGTGTTCACAGATTTTGACAAACTTCTGAGGAAGGCAGATGCTAAGAGAAGAGACTGGAAGAGAAAACAGGGTAAGAGCTGCAGGGATGAAGGTCAGTGGTCAGCGGAGGAAAATTGCTTAATGAGTCCCCTGCTGAGGTGTCCCTGCAATTCACCCAGCTGTCCCCATGCAGCACTTGCCGGACACTGGGAGTTAATGCCTCCTTACATTTTGCCCCCTAGGCCTTTGTCTCATCTTAATCATCCCTTCCCTACCTCACCCTCGCCCCGTCCCCCAGCCCCCGTGGGAGCCACAAATAAGGATCACTAGGCATTAGCCACGCCTCCTCTTCCCACTGGTTCCCTACATCTTGCCACCAGGTGGCACTCTGTCCAAGCTTGGCGCTCTGACCTGGTAAGTGGATGCTTCCGTTTTATACTCACAGGTCCATATTTTGAGGAGTTTTTGCAATGGAAAGTCACCGAGGACTGCCAAGTGCTGCTGACGTGCAAGGCAAATCTAAGCCCCTGCCTCCAGTCCCGAACCCTAGGCCTGTTGGAGCAAGATCTGTGGCTAGTCCTTAAACCCCACCATGGCTATCCCTGCCCCATCCCCCAAATTCCACACCTGGGCTTTGAGTAATCCCCAGGAAGTAGCCCCAAGAGATTGTGTCTTTGACCCCAAAAAAGGGAAGCCACTACTTGATGGGACCCTGGGTTTAGAATTACTATATTGGGGCAGCTACGGGCTAGCTCTCCCAGCTGATATTAGGGGGCACAGTGTTTGCTAAAAAAAGTCTAATGAGAAAGTTTGATAGACTCTCATTGCCCACCTTGACCAGGTGACCAACACCAAGAAGGAGACTTGCTTCCAGTGGTTCTTCCAGAAGAGCGCGCTGCCAGCCGGTCAATATGACGAGCAAACAGGGGCAGGGCTGCTCCTCATCAAAGAGGTCAGTGCATCCCATGCTCACACACTCCAGCTGCCAGCAGGTCAGCACGGGGTAGGACAGGGTGGGGCAGTCAGGACTCACCTCCGATTCAGAATTCCAAGACGAGCCAAAAACCTCTGTGTTGTGTGAGTTAAAACCAACCCATAGCTGACCCTCCAGCAGGTTTTCAGAGGCAGTTAATCACAGGGAGGAAGGAGATTGTCCATTTTTCTTCTGTGGAGCAGCTGGTGACCTCAAACCACGTACCTTCAGAATTGCAACTCAGTTTATTGCCAGTAGGCCACCAAAGCCTCTGTAGTCAAGATAAATTATATTTTCATTCAGTATCTGAAAAATTCTGACATACACCTCCTTGGCCCCCCAAATCCACAAAGAACAAAACTCCAACATTAGTAACAAAGACAGAATTAGTATTACTTCTTTTTCCTTTCGTCTTGGGCTCCATATGGCTTCTCACAGAGCTTAAGTCCTGATCTTGACACCAAGTCTGTGTGTGGCCTCGGGTGGTCACTGTCCCTCGCTGCTTTCAGTTTTCATCTGTAACAGGAGCAGATCTGAGGGAGCTTGCTCTAAGATTCCTCCCTGGCCGACACTCTCATGCATGTCATAAAGGATGCCACCATGTCTGGCGGTCAGTCTAGGACAAAGAAGGGCCTGGAACCCAATTCTTCCCCCATAGGCTTTGGAAGAGGATGAGACTAGATCAGAGATAAACACAAGATTTACTCTCAAACAAAGGCATTGACACTGCTGCTCATTTCTGAATACCAAGAGGCCAAGAGCAAGTGTTGGTTTGCTGACTAAAAAGAAAATACTGATTTCGGGTTTCCTCCCTGTATCCTGGCCTGGGGGATGTTAAGTCAATGTTCCCCCACTGTGGAGGCCCAGCACAAGGAGGTGCTTAAAACACCTTGGCAGGTGGATGAGTCTTGTTATAATCATTTCTCCCCTTGACACAGAACTTTCTGGGTTCCAAAGAGTTACCACTACTAACCCTCACAGCACATTGGCAGGGCGAGGATTATGTCATCATTGAGTAAATTAAGGTGCAGAGAGTTTAACTGCAAAGACGAAGTTAGAGATCTACATCAGAAATCATTCCTATCATCCACACTGGGTTTGGTTAAGACTTTGGAATCCTTGCTGGGCAGGGGAGACTAGGAGAGAGCTCAGCCTCCAGGCGAAGAGTTGTCTGATTTGGGTTGTGATCAGGGTAGGCGAGATCCTTTAAGGATACTGGGAGGCAAATACTGATGCTTGTAGGGAGTTTTAAAATGACCTCCAGGTTTTATTTCAAAAGCACAACCCAAGGTTTTGCTTTGCAGAGTGCCAGATCAGATTTCACCCGACAAGCAATATTCCAGAAAGGACTTCTTTGTCCTGTATGAAAGAAAACACGCATTCTTCTGAGAAAGAGCAGTGGCTGTCCTCCTTCCAGGGCCCAGGACAGGACAGCTCAGGCAGAGCCTATGTCCTGTTCAGAGGAGTTGGCGAGGAGGGCTCCCATGCTGGTGAGAAACAGCCAGCTGAAATCCACACAAGGACATCTATTTCTGCTCTCACTAATGCCCAACTCTAGGCCTAAGTCCAGGACAAGGCCCACAGCTTGTCAAAGGGCCCTAGAACTGGAAGTAGCCTCAGAATACATCCAACCCAGCCCCTTCTCATCACAGTGGGGAAACTGAGGCCCAGAGGATCTCAGAGAGTTGAGCTCAGGCCTGGGGGCTTGCTGTCTGTCACTCTTTCAAGAGCTCACACTGATGCTGCCATCTCTCCTCCTTCGTTCCAGATGTCCAAAGAGAACAAAGGCCTTTACAGAGCAGTGGTTTCTGACAGTCGAGGGGAAGATGACACCATTCTGGAACTCTCAGGTGAAGGTCGGTGTTGGTGTTAGAGATGGACAAAAAGGGCACCTACCAGAACAGGAGGGTCTTGTGTCCCATGGGGTAAAACGTGTACAATCCTTGTGCCACATGGGGAAACTTAGTCACAGAGCGGGTAAATGACTTTTCCAGGTCTGCACAGCTAGTGATGGGAGCCTGGTCGGTGTGACTCAGACCCAGGTTCATTGCATGTAGCACAGGAAGCCCAAACATGGGGCTGCAGAGCCGGTGTTCAGTCCATGGTGGGTCCTGGCTCCTTATCGGGCTGCTCAGCTCGGCTCTGGGCATTGTTGAGGTTGAGCTAACTAGCCTCCATCCATGGTGTCTGCTGTGCTCCAGGACTCCACTAGACTATAAGTCAGCTTACAGAGTGACAGGACCCCATGCCCAAGAGTGAGTGGCATGTGAGTCACTGAGGGAGTCCTATACCAGCTGACTGTTCTCTGTCTCCTTCCAGCTCTGGATGCTGTCTTCACTGAGCTGGGCAGGATTAGTGGTAAGCAAACCTGCCTCTTTGCCCATCCCTGTTCAGATACCAAATGGCTTCAGGGAGGCCACCAATCAGTTTGAGCTACCAGGGGATGGAGAAGTTCCTGTCTTTTCACAACACTGAATTCTCCCCATTCCACCCTCCAGAGCAGGGGTGAGTGGGTTGGCACTAAAATATACTGCAAAGAGAGCCTGGAAGAAGAATTACCCATCTCCTCTACCTCCCTAGCCCTCTCTGCAGCACCCTTGAAAATCCAGGGAACTGAAGAGGGAATCCGGATCTTCAGCAAGGTCAAGTACTACAATGTGGACTATATGAAAACTACCTGGTTCCACAAGTAGGTCTTTTACTTCTCCTGAAGCTCTAGTCAGTTCAAGGGGCCAGCACCTACCCAGAGAGGAGGTCTCCTCTCCCCTTGCCCAAGGGGTTGGTGTAGATGAGAGTTTACCACTGGCCTTGCTATTTACAGGAGTGAGAGATAGGGAACAACTGTCAAAGGCATAGAAGGGCCTGGCCTGAGGTCCCACAGGGAAGATAGGAACCTAGAGATTATTGATGTTGTATGCCATCAAGCTGGAACTGACCCTTAGCTGATTCTCCAGCAGGTTTTCAGAGGCAGTAAATAGCATAGGAGGAGACTGCCAGTTCTCCTGCAGAGCATCTTGTGGATTTGAACCACATGTTTTTGAGATTGCAGCACAGTTTCTTACCACTAGGCCACCAGAGGACCATTTACCTAGAATATCCATGACCACAGCAAGACCATTATCTCAGGGTAATACATCTGAGAACTGTGGGAGGGAGAAATAAAAGAATAAAGAGAATAAGGTGATTGGGTGGATCATGGTGCCCTGCTGGGTCACTTTAACCTTAGTGAATTCGGGTAGCCAGACATTTCTGCTCAGAAGAAAGATGTAGGCAAAAGGGATGTGTGAGGCTGAGAACTCACTAAAGTCCATGGCTTGAAGCCAAGTTACATAAGGGATCCACAGAAATGTAAGAACAGAAATTCAGACAATAACTGAGTAACCTCAGATAGTTTGGGAGCCATTTTCCTAGAGTATGGAATCATGGGCATGTGAAGCAGCTATTACTGCACCTGTTGTATGAAGATGTTTAGAACGGCTTGGTCACGTTGTTAAATGAGGGAGTGAAGACCAGTTTGAATTCCAGGAAGTAGACCTTTATAACTAGAGTTTCTCAGTCTTGTGACTTAGCCCAGATGTGATACTTCTTTTACACAGTGCAGAGCATGGTCCAGGTGCCTTAAGGAATGAAGCTTAAGGAGCAAAATGAAGGAGTTTAACCTTAGATGGTTGGAAGATATAATTGTGGGAAGAAACTCCAGCAGGGCTTATGATGAAATAAGTTAAGAGGTGGGGAAGCGCCTCCTATGAGTACGAGAGGTGGTAGACACTAACCTGAAGCAATGTTTCCTCAGTGGCCCACTTGCAAGACACCTCACAGTAACAAACTCGGTGCTAGCACATAGTTAATGGACCACAAGTTTTAATATATTAATGAGTAGTTAAATGAATGAATAAAAGAATATATATATCAAGTACTTGGTAGATGGTGACCACCTTCAGCTCAGGTGTCTGGGGGGGAAAAACACCCCTTAGAGAGAAGTTAGGGGCAACAGGTGTCTGAACCCATGCAGACAGCCAGCTTTGGGGGTGAATCATTTTAACCACCCTTTGCCCTCCAATTCAGAGAGAAACGTCTGGAAAGTGGTGACAGGATGAGGACTGGCACCACCTTGGATGAGATCTGGCTCCACATCCTAGACCCTAAAGACTCAGACAAGGGCAAATACTCCCTGGAAATAGCTGCTGGCAAGGAAGTCCGGCAGCTCTCAGTTGACCTCTCAGGACAAGGTGAGCTTTCTACCTGTCTGTCCAGAAGAAAGTAGGGTACAAATTCCACAGTTGTTTTGAGGACTCCCATCTCCCTAACTGATTATAGCACCACTCGAAATGCATATGAAAGGGTAGAGGAGAGAAGGGAGTTGGAACAGTGCTCACATGGGCAGAACCACTGACCTACCCCCTCCTCCTTTCAGCTTTTGATGACGCACTGGCTGAGCACCAGCGCCTGAAGTAAGTTTTCCTCTGGTTCTCATGTCCCTCATGGGATCTGGGGGTGTGTCATGGCCTTTGCAGAATAACTCTTCCTGGGAGCTCCACCTTTCTCTCCCCACCACCCATGCTTAAAGATGGCCCTTTAACAAATGGAACATTTTCACATTTCTGTTTTTCAGAGCCGCAGCCATCATAGAGAAGAGTAAGTTCACCAATGTTTTTGTTTTCTTATTTCTGGGCTTGAGCAGCTGAAGTATCTATCAGGTTCCCAGTGGGCCTAATCCATGGTCCTAAGTCCCACTGGAACTGTTCCAGGAGATATGGGTGGAGCAGGGTGAAGGCAGAAGGTAAGGAATATGAAGATTGGTTGAGATAATGGAAATGCCCAGGTGGGCCTACTGCCCAACAGATGTACCAGCAACATTGGTGAGGCCCCAAAAGCAAGAGATGACGAGAAAGGGGTGAGGCAGCCCTTCCCCAGTGATACATGGAGATGGGGAGAACTAATTCTTGGGCACTAGAGCCTCTAATCCAGGATGTAGTCCTAAATCCGTAAGGATAGGCCATGACCTCTGAGTGCCCCCTGGTCTGCACATTTGAGAACTCCCTATTCAGTGTTCTTCCTTGGCCATTTCAATGCACACACATGCCTCAGCCTCAGGGAGCAGCTATTACTTCACATGTTCTATGAAGCCAAATGTCATTTGAGTCTGGCCTTCTGGTCTCACTAAGCCACAGACATTTTGGTGAGGAGGAGACTTCTAGTCACAGAACAAAGCAGCCCAGCAACGTGGCGGGAAGAAAAGGACTGAAAGACTAAAGAAACAGACAAGAGATCAACTGAAAATGCTGCATTGTTAGGGGCCACCTACAGCCATTCTCCATCTGTCCATGGAGACGTATATATTCCTATGATGCTAAATGGGTTTTAACAGAGCTTCTGGTGGCTTTGTGCTGTGAGAAATTGTGCTGCCAATGCAAAGGTGCGCAGTTCAAGTCCATCAACTGCTCTATCAAAAAAAAATGGGCACTTTCCTCCTGTGCGATTTACTGCCTCTGAAAATTTGCTGGAGTGTCAGCTATGAGTCAGTTCCAACTCAATGGCACACAACAACAACAACTGGACTAAGACAAGGAGCTCTGATGATCTAGTGGATAAAGAGTTGTGCTGCCAGCTCTGAGGCATATGGTTTGAATCCACCAGCTCACGAGAAGAATGGGAAGTCTCCTCTCATGCAATTTACAGCCTCTGAAAACCCACTGGAGTAAGCTTTGACTTGGTTTTGACTTGACAGCATGTAACAATAACAGACCAAGATGGACTATAAAAAAAGGATTTGTGAACCACTTCTAAAAATCAGCCAATGAAAACCCTACAAGTCGCATTGGCCTAAGCCACAATCCATTGTGAGGATGGCACAGGGCAAAGCCATATTTCACTCTGTTGTGCATGAGTCCCCATGAGTAAAGGACCAACCCGACAGCAGCTAGCAACAACAGCAGATTCACCCTGTGTGACATCCTAGTTTCAGGTATCCTCACATGACAGGAAGTACTGGCCTTGGCATTCTTAATTGGAATTTTGAAAGAGGCAATTGACAGGTCTAAATGGCCACGTACTCAGAAGGCCTTGCTTAATGGAAAGAGCACCCCCTAGAGACCAGCCTCAGACTGCCCATGGGCTTGGAGTACCAGCAGCTCCAAGAGGTTCCTGTGCTGGCCACCCCATCAGTCTATCCAGATACTGGGTAAAGATAGACCTGAAATTCTGTGCCCTGGGCAGGATGCCCCAAACCAGGGCCCTAACAAAGGGAAGTTGAATTCACCAACACACGGTTGCTGGAGTTATGGATTCTAAATCAAGGAATGTGGATCGTCTCACCTCTGCTGGGGTACACACTGTCCACTTCTGGGTCCTTCCCCACCCAGTTCCGGATCCTGCTCCCCTTATGTTCACTGACAGTCAGCCTTGAGATCTTTGCATTTCCCTAATCCTTGATTTAGAGATGGTGCTGACCACTTCGTTCTATTCCTTCAGGCTCTTTTGCACTGTACGTTTATTGGCTTTCCACTCAGTAAATTAAAACCACATTCTTGTCCTGCCCCAACCACATGGCCATCAGGACCCTCCCTTGATCAGAGTCAAGTGTCACAAAAGGGACCCTCCTTCCTTGAGCTTCATCTCACACCCATTGTGCGTGGGCTTTTGCTAGTTTAATCCTCAGAGAAATCTATCTGGCCTTTCTCGGTTCTCACTTAGCCTTTAAGAACCACCAGTCATGATGGTCTTGCAGCCAGGATAGGACCACAGTTGTAGTGAGGTGAGGCATCTGACCTGCTCCAACTTCACAAGCTGGTCACCATCAGCATTGGCCCAAAGATGAATCCTAGGAAGCAGAGGTCAGACATACCACCTTTCTCTAACCTTTTAGCCACCACTGGCACCAGCTATTCATTCC